GTGTTGGTAATGGAGTCCGCCAGGGGGGGCTCCTCTCACCATGCCTTTTTAATATCTATATGAATGATCTATCAGATGATTTAAGTGTCTGTAAAACAGGGTGTGTGATTGGTAATGTGATTGTAAACCATCTTATGTATGCCGATGATCTGGCTATTGTTTCTCCTAGCAATGCTGGTTTTCAACAGTTGCTAAATGTTTGTTCTGATTACGGAGTCAAATTTGACGTTAAATACAATGCTAAGAAGAGCGCTGTAATGATCTGCACTGCACAAGGGGATAAGAACCTTGGTTTTCTAATATTCTATCAGTCAGGGCAGGTGCTGTCTGTTTGCTGTGACACTAAGTATCTGGGACACATCATCACAGATTAAATGGCTGATGATCATGATGACATGTATAGACAGCGGCGTGTCTTATATACACAAGCTAACATGTTGGCTAGAACATTCTCTTGGTGTTCAGATAAGGTTAAGGTGAACCTCTTGAGGGCTTATTGTACTCCTCTGTATACTGCCCCCTTGTGGCTCAAGAAGGCGAGCCTCCAGAAGCTCCAGGTGGCTTATCATGACTGTTTGCGTATACTGGTTAGAAAACCAAGGTGGTGCAGTGCAAGTGAAATGTGTTGTAATGCACGAGTCAACAAGTTCCATGCTCTCTTGAGAAATATAAAGTACAAATTCATCTGTCGATTGAATGTTTCTCATAACTCTGTCAATATGCTGCTTTCAAATCCGTGTCTCAGTGCTGTACGATACCAGTCACCTCTCTGGAAACATTGGTATAACTGCCTTTTTTAATTTATATTTGAGTGTTGTATGTTTTTTGTAATAATGGACCAAGAGTCTCTTTAAATAAAGATGATGATGATGATGACTAGATTTACTGAACACAAATATCAGATGACTTTTTCCATCACTGATGTTAACAATATCTAAATCAGGTCTTGAGGTGAATGATTTAGTATAAACGGTGATATTTGTACCTTTACTGCATTAAAGTATCTGATTACTTCGTAACTGTTGTTTACTATATCCAAATCAGGCCTTGAGTTTATTTAATGTTGCCTTAAATACAAATACTCTCTCAGTAAAACCATTAAAACCACATGTAGAGAGTTATTTTGAGTAGATGGTGATATTTAACCCGGACTCTGGCATTCAAAGTGCGCCACGTTACAGACTTTTGAAACATTACTTTTCCCGGGATAACAGTGTTCCATTTAAACTCCCGCCACACCGTCTGCCCTGGTCATTGAAACCGTGACGTAGGTCCGGCCAGAAACGCTCAGCCAATGAGCGTTGGGGGAGCTGTTTGCTCTGACCAATCAGAGCGCAGCTGAGGGGGAAGCAAGCACAGCTGTTGCATCGAAGGAGGAGCTGAAAGAGATTTGGCGCAAGTTTCGGCTTCAGTGTTCGAAGACAACGGAGAGAAAGAGACTCAGAGGGCTGTAAGACAAGAGAAAACACTCTACTTTCAACTGAGAAGACTTCCTGCTACTATTTATAACGGTAAATATATCATTAACTCTTTATTTTAAGTAGTGGAAGGTGAAATATGGTTGTAACCGGAAGAGTTATTCTACTGTTCAGATTCGCTTTGCTGGTTTATCGTCTAAAATATTCCTAGTAGCTTATTTTTCACGTTATGTATTTGACTCCAGGGGTGTATTTATTTTAAAAGGATATGTTTTAGATGAAATATCATTCATTTTCTTTGCGAAATCTGGTTATTTCGTTGTGATAACGCCACCGTTTTCGCGCCATTTGACAACCATACTATGTGTGGTGTTTGGTCTGCTGGTGATTTCGAGTAAACACAACTTTTAAACAAGGATCTATAAACTTTGACAGGTTACTATAATGGCATTAAGTGTGTGACAATTGTTTTTAGATTAATCAGAATGTGTAATGTGGTAATATTGAGGGATTCAATTCACAAACGCGTTATTGTACACTTTCATTTACACTTAAAACAACCCTATTTTGGTCTAGACAAAAACATACAGTGCAACCTTTGGATGAGAAGGAACATAAAGATCATATCATAGTAGTTTGTTGTGTTTTAAGGTTGATTTCAACTGCTAAGTGTGCTAGGGAAAGATAGCAGGTGCCATGCCCAACATGCCATCAACTAGTGGAGGAAAGTTGCTCATGTACAAGTACTTGTATTTTAATGAAGTATCTCCATGTAATGTTACTTTATACATATCAATGGAGTCTCCACTACCCAGCAGTATGTACATTAGGCAGAATAAGCCCCACATGTTAACAGCTGCAACATGAACACATGACTTTAAAAGTAAATCTAATCATGTTAAATATATCTTGAATTTGGCTAAATGAGTGCTTTTGATACCTTTAGTATATTGTGACACTAGTACTGTTGTACTTTTTGGATGCAGGACTCGTACAACAGAGTATTAGTTATTTTATTTAGCCCCATACTTATTTAGTTTGTGGTTTCTTATAGCAACTTGGTGCTAATAAACTAAAGCAGGAGTTTGAATGCATGACATTTAAAAAACTGACAGTCGAAGCTTTCGTTCACCAACTTAGAATAATGTCAAAATAAACATCACATTATTAGCAGCCCTATCATTTATGTGCGCATGGATTATGTTTCAGTTTGAAGCCAAAAGGCCCAGCGACCAGTACTTTTACTTAAGTTAACATTTGGATGCAGGACTTTACTAATAGAGTTTTGCTCCTTTGGTTTAAACTACTGAGTGCTTCTTTCTGCGGGGGTCCGCGGGGTCTTAAGAAGTATTACAAGTTGATCAATCAATTTAGAGAAAATGAAGGCTATTAAACGGCATTTCCCAAGGTGTTACATGTTGTAGCTTGTTTTCAATAAGTATATGAATGGTCCAAAGAGGTTGTGTTCTACAGTCTGCCTGAATGTAATCATTGCGTAGGTGTGTAGTGTGATTCTGTGTAGTTTATTGATGGCATCCCGTTGGATGTGACGTCATCTGAACAGGACATCGCACGCTCACTGCTTGATAGCGCGCGAAGGTCCGTTTACGCCGGTTGCTAAGCAACATCGTTATGGGGAAATGCAAGTCTGCGTCCAAATGGTTGAAGATAAGGAGGAAGGACAATCAATACTGTGTATAGTAAATGTGAGGTGAAGTGTGTCGCCAAGGTAACCGGTTAGAACTCCAAGTGGAGATGAGGTCTTAAAATGTATGGAAAGGGTCTTAAAGGCATTACATTTGACTTCAGGATTCCTCATGTACCCTGCTCTAATTGCATTCTTCATCATTTTGTACTTTTACTAAAGTAGAAGTTTGAATGCTTAACATTTGACGACGAGATTTGTAGCTTCAAACAAAAACCTCACGGGGAGCTTAAAATGTTAAAAACCCCTCTCACACGCCTCTACCTTTTTTGATGAACTAATGGATTATCTTCCTTTTATGTTTCAGTTCAGCTCAACATGCCCAGCACGCGCTCTAACGGCCAGGCTCAGCCCACGCTGGCGTTCCCTCGCCGGAAATCCAGCAGAGTTTCCTCTCAAGGCAAGACGCCGCAGCGAGAGGAGTCTCCGGCTGCTTCGCCTTCAAAGCCCGAACCCCTGAACCTGGGTCGCATCGGACCGATGTCCCGAGACGCCCTGCCGTCGCCCGGACCTCCGCCCTCTCGTCTCCTCTCTCACTCAGAGCTCCTCCTTCCTCCCCCCGTCTGCAGGACACGACTCCCCCTCAGCCCAGGAAACGCACAGGTGAGACCTGTGGTTCTAGGTTCTGCAACTAGGCTTCATTTCTAGTTGCATTTCTTAGTGTAAAGAGTGCTTCAAAGGTGCAAATGAATCACCACACGGCTCCATTATTCCCACAGTGATTCAAAAAGGCTTATGTTGGTTTAAATCTCTATAGGCGGTTACATAGGAGGTTTTTCTACTTAACAGAACTACAACACATCAGTTCAGGGTCTTATGTTAGAGGAAAATTCACCTCTACATTTATATTTCAAAATAAAATGTATTGAAAAACAACAACGTTGGATAAGCTCCTACTTTTTTTTTAAGCGACTGTTCTCAATCTGGTGTTGTTGGCCTGGCTTGCTTATCAATACAACAATGAAAGAATATTGAAATGATAAGATGTTGAGTTCCTCCACATTCAGTTCACCCGGAGATTTAATCGTGTGTCTTTTATTCTGAAGGAGACGATAACGGCTGTAACCTGGACGGCTCCCTCGCTGCTCGGCTCCCCTCCGAAGCAGAGCCGGCCGGCCGTGAATTCTCCCAGAAAGCTCAGCTTGGACGAGAACTCTCCGCTCTCCGTTCGCCGCCGGCTGGTCCCGTCGCTGTCGCCACGGAAACCACAGTCTCCCAACACCGGGTCGTCACCGCGGCGACAGGACACTCCCGCAGGAACCCCGGAGGGAAAACAGGCGGTTTCTCAGCTCTTTGCAGAAAGTAAGAGACGCTACTATTTGTTTTTAAGGTCACCTATTGGGCGACATCCACTTCTTATAACCAATCAAATCAAACGATCAACAGACCACATTTATACATGTGCAACACTTGAGACATAAATAAAAACACAACAATCAATATATACAAAATAACAGGTCACTTCAATATCTTAGAGAATGTGCATTAATGCAAGACTGGCCCATATAAGATAAGGATGCATTTGATCTCCTCTTCATCGTCCTCTTCCTCTCTGTTCCCCCTGCAGAGTCGAGGTTCCTGAGCGTGAAGCAGGCTTTGCACACGGCCCTCCCGGAGCGTCTTCTGTCCCGCGAGGTGGAGCGAGACGCCATCCGGTGCTTCCTGAGAGACAAAGCCCTGCAGAGAGTCCCCGGCAGCCTCTACATCTCCGGAGCGCCCGGCACCGGGAAGACCGCCTGCTTCAACTGCGTCCTGAAGGAGATGGAGGTACTGATACCAAACTGTTAGAAAAATCATTTCAAGAAAACATTTAACATAACAGCACAATCAGTGAGAGCAAAGCTGCTCAAAGAGCCTTCAGCGTGCATCTGATCTGTAGCTCTGTGTTTACTGAGAGCATGGACTGGAGCACAAAGGATGCTTCAGGCTGACTTTAGTTGATCTCCATTAGAGGGTAGGCAGTTCATATTCTCTGCTCAGAGCATGCTTTGGGTTCCCAGATGATGCTGTTGGACTCTCAGGTTATTATGGTCATAATATCTAGTAGCAGAGATGTCAAAAGTACACACATCCTTTACTCAAGTAGAAGTACAGATACTCGTGTTTTCAAATACTCTGGTGAAAGTAGAAGTACTGACCTAAACTTCTTTACTCAAGTCAAAGTAAAGAATTATGGGCTTTGAAATGTACTTCAGTAAAAACTAGCCAGTCAGCTGGTAACTGGACCTCACTTTATTAACAGACCTTTGAAGATCTTCCATTTCAAATTGTAATACTGTCATATATACACAGACTGTGTTTTCTGTATGACACTAGGTTGCAATAGGCGCCCAATGACCCTAAATAATAACGATCACGCACCCCTGCATCTTTAAAGTAAGGGGTTTGTGCTAAAAATGTAAAAGTAAAAAGTTGTCAGACAAATAGATAGTGGAGCTGCAGTGACACCTAGTGGAGTGTTTCGGTCACTGCAGGTCTGGAGTCAAGATTAACAGATTTAGGCTTTACTGTCATTATGCAAAAAAAGTAGATACAGAAGTTAATTATAGATTAGGATAAAACTAAATACTGGACTGTGTAATAAAAAAAGGCTTATTGTCGGAGTAATGCTTGTTGATTCAGAGGTGGAAACCCACTGCTTTTATTTACTGAAGTACTTTCATTTAGTACGATTTGGAGTTTTTGATGTTAGAAAACACAATGGGTTTTGAAGAGAGAACAAGCAAAACATAGTTTCATTTTAAAAGAGACGATTGGACTCTCGCCAGCATTCAAGACTCAAAGGTTTTATTGTCATATGCTCAAAGCTACAGTGTAGAAATCCTTCTGACCTGAGCTCCTCCAACGATGCAACATGTATAATAAAAGTTCAAGAACAGTGAGCATCTTAGTAACTGTGTTTCTCCTCGTGCAGCCGGAGCTCTCCTCGGTGCAGACGGTGCTGGTGAACTGCATGAGTCTGCGCAGCTCTCACGCCATCTTCCGTCTGCTGGCGGAGAAACTGAAGGCTCCTGGAGGACAGAGCGGGCTGCAGAGGTTCCTCACGGCCCCGGGGCCCGCTGTGTGAGTAACTGTCTAAACTAGAGCAGCCTTTTCCAACTCAGGGCCCTCTGAAAGGTCTCCTATCATTCAAAATCCACTTTTCACGTCTTTTATACATCAACATGTGTCCCCTCTTCTTCATGTCTCTTCTACATCAACATGTGTCCCCTCTTCTTCATGTCTCTTCTACATCAACATGTGTCCCCTCTTCTTCATGTCTCTTCTACGTCAACATGTGTCCCCTCTTCTCCATGTCTCTTCTACATCAACATGTGTCCCCTCTTCTCCATGTCTCTTCTACATCAACATGTGTCCCCTCTTCTTCATGTCTCTTCTACATCAGCATGTGTCCCCTCTTCTTCATGTCTCTTCTACATCAACATCTGTCCCCTCTTCTTCATGTCTCTTCTACATCAACATGTGTCCCCTCTTCTTCATGTCTCTTCCACATCAACATGTGTCCCCTCTTCTTCATCAACATGTGTCCCCTCTTCTTCATGTCTCTTCTACATCAACATGTGTCCCCTCTTCTTCATGTCTCTTCTACATCAACATGTGTCCCCTCTTCTTCATGTCTCTTCTACATCAACATGTATCCCCCCTCTTCTTCATGTCTCTTCTACATCAACATGTGTCCCCTCTTCTTCATGTCTCTTCTACGTCAACATGTGTCCCCTCTTCTTCATGTCTCTTCTACATCAACATGTGTCCACTCTTCTTCATGTCTCTTCTACATCAACATGTGTCCTCTCTTCTTCATGTCTCTTCTACATCAACATGTGTCCCCTCCTTCTTTCATGTCTCTTCTACATCAACATGTGTCCCCTCTTCTTCATGTCTCTTCTACATCAACATGTGTCCCCTCTTCTTCATGTCTCTTCTACGTCAACATGTGTCCACTCTTCTTCATGTCTCTTCTGCATCAACATGTGTCCCCTCTTCTTCATGTCTCTTCTACATCAACATGTGTCCTCTCTTCTTCATGTCTCTTCTACATCAACATGTGTCCCCTCTTCTTCATGTCTCTTCTACATCAACATGTGTCCCCTCTTCTTCATGTCTCTTCTACATCAACATGTGTCCCCTCTTCTTCATGTCTCTTCTACATCAACATGTGTCCCCCTCTTCTTCATGTCTCTTCTACATCACATGTGTCCCCTCTTCTTCATGTCTCTTCTACATCAACATGTGTCCCCTCTTCTTCATGTCTCTTCTACATCAACATGTGTCCCCTCTTCTTCATGTCTCTTCTACGTCAACATGTGTCCACTCTTCTTCATGTCTCTTCTGCATCAAACATGTGTCCCCTCTTCTTCATGTCTCTTCTACATCAACATGTGTCCTCTCTTCTTCATGTTCTCTTCTACATCAACATGTGTCCCCTCTTCTTCATGTCTCTTCTACATCAACATGTGTCCCCTCTTCTTCATGTCTCTTCTACATCAACATGTGTCCCCTCTTCTTCATGTCTCTTCTACGTCAACATGTGTCCCCTCTTCTTCATGTCTCTTCTACATCAACATGTGTCCACTCTTCTTCATGTCTCTTCTACCATCAACATGTGTCCCCTCTTCTTCATGTCTCTTTCTACATCAACATGTGTCCCCCCTCTTCTTCATGTCTCTTCTACATCAACATGTGTCCCCTCTTCTTCATGTCTCTTCTACATCAACATGTGTCCCTCTTCTTCATGTCTCTTCCACATCAACAGTGTCCCTCTTCTTCATGTCTCTTCTACATCAACTTGTGTCCCCTCTTCTTCATGTCTCTTCTACATCAACATGTGTCCCCTCTTCTTCATGTCTCTTCTACATCAACATGTGTCCCCTCTTCTTCATGTCTCTTCTACATCAACTTGTGTCCCCTCTTCTTCATGTCTCCTCTACATCAACATGTGTCCCCTCTTCTTCATGTCTCCTCTACATCAACATGTGTCCCTCTTCTTCATGTCTCCTCTACATCAACATGTGTCCCCTCTTCTTCATGTCTCCTCTACATCAACATGTGTCCCCTCTTCTTCATGTCTCCTCTACATCAACATGTGTCCCCTCTTCTTCATGTCTCCTCTACATCAACTTGTGTCCCCTCTTCTTCATGTCTCTTCTACATCAACATGTGTCCTCTCTTCTTCATGTCTCCTCTACATCAACTTGTGTCCCCTCTTCTTCATGTCTCTTCTACATCAACATGTGTCCTCTCTTCTTCATGTCTCCTCTACATCAACATGTGTCCCCTCTTCTTCATGTCTCCTCTACATCAACATGTGTCCCCTCTTCTTCATGTCTCTTCTACATCAACATGTGTCCCCTCTTCTTCATGTCTCTTCTACATCAACATGTGTCCCCTCTTCTTCATGTCTCTTCTACATCAACATGTGTCCTCTCTTCTTCATGTCTCCTCTACATCAACATGTGTCCCCTCTTCTTCATGTCTCTTCTACATCAACATGTGTCCCCTCTTCTTCATGTCTCTTCTACATCAACATGTGTCCTCTCTTCTTCAGTCTCCTCTACATCAACATGTGTCCCCTCTTCTTCATGTCTCTTCTACATCAACATGTGTCCCCCTCTTCTTCATGTCTCTTCTACATCAACATGTTGTCCCCTCTTCTTCATGTCTCTTCTACATCAACATGTGTCCCCTCTTCTTCATGTCTCTTCTACATCAACATGTGTCCTCTCGTTCTTCATGTCTCCTCTACATCAACATGTGTCCCCTCTTCTTCATGTCTCTTCTAACATCAACATGTGTCCCCTCTTCTTCATGTCTCTTCTACACAAACATGTGTCCCCTCTTCTTCATGTCCTCTTCATACATCAACATGTGTCCCCTCTTCTTCATGTCTCTTCTACATCAACATGTGTCCTCTCTTCTTCATGTCTCCTCTAAACATCAACATGTGTCCCCTCTTCTTCATGTCTCTTCTACATCAACATGTGTCCCCTCTTCTTCATGTCCTCTCTACATCAAACATGTGTCCCCTCTTTTCATGTCTCTTCTACATCAACATGTGGTCCCCTCTTCTTCATGTCTCCTCTACATCAAAATGTGTCCACCTCTTCTTCATGTCTCTTCTACATCAAACATGTGTCCCCTCTTCTTCATGTCTCTTCCACATCAACATGTGTCCCCTCTTCTTCATGTCTCTTCTACATCAACATGTGTCCTCTCTTCTTCATGTCTCCTCTACATCAACATGTTGTCCCCCTCTTCTTCATGTCTCTCTCTACATCAACATGTGTCCCCCTCTTCTTCATGTCTCTTCTACATCACATGTGTCCCCCTCTTCTTCATGTCTCTTCTACATCAACATGTGTCCCCTCTTCTTCATGTCTCTTCTACCTCAAACATGTGTCCCCTCTTATTCATGTCTCTTCTACATCAACATGTGTCCCTTCTTCTTCATGTCTCTTTCTACATAACATGTGTCCCCCTCTTCTTCATGTCTCTTCTACATCAACATGTGTCCTCTCTTCTTTCATGTCTCCTCTACATCAACATGTGTCCCCTCTTCTTCATGTCTCTTTCTACATCAACATGTGTCCCCTCTTCTTCATGTTCTATCTACATCAACATGTGTCCCCTCTTCTTCATGTCTCTTCTACATCAACATGTGTCCCCCTCTTCTTCATGTCTCTTCTACATCAAACATGTGTCCCCTCTCTTCATGTCTCTCTCTACATCAGCATGTGTCCCCTCTTCTTCATGTCTCTTCTACATCAACATGTGTCCCCCTCTTCTTCACGTCTCTTCTACATCAACATGTGTCCCCTCTTCTTCATGTCTCTTCTACATCAGCATGTGTCCCCCTCTTCTTCATGTCTCTTCTACATCAACATGTGTCCCCTCTTCTTCATGTTCTCTTCTACATCAACACGTGTCCCCTCTTCTTCATTTCTCTTCTACATCAACACGTGTCCCCTCTTCTTCATGTCTCTTCTACATCAACATGTGTCCCCTCTTCTTCATGTCTCCTCTACATCAACATGTGTCCCCTCTTCTTCATGTCTCTTCTACATCAACATGTGTCCCCCTCTTCCTCATGTCTCTTCTACATCAACATGTGTCCCCTCTTCTTCATGTCTCTTCTACATCAACATGTGTCCCCTCTTCTCCATGTCTCTTCTACATCAACATGTGTCCCCTCTTCTTCATGTCTCTTCTACATCAACATGTGTCCCCTCTTCTTCATGTCTCTTCTACATCAACATGTGTCCCCCTCTCCTTCATGTCTCTTCTACATCAACATGTGTCCCCTCTTCTTCATGTCTCTTCTACATCAACATGTGTCCCCTCTTCTTCATGTCTCTTCTACATCAACATGTGTCCCCTCTTCTTCATGTCTCTTCTACATCACATGTGTCCCCTCTTCTTCATGTCTCTTCTACATCAACATGTGTCCCCTCTTCTTCATGTCTCTTCTACATCAACATGTTGTCCCCTCTTCTTCATGTCTCTTCTACATCAACATGTGTCCCTCTTCTCCATGTCTCTTCTACATCAACATGTGTCCCCTCTCTTCATGTCTCTTCTACATCAACATGTGTCCCCTCTTCTTCATGTCTCTTCTACATCAACACGTGTCCCCTCTTCTTCATGTCTCTTCTACATCAAACACGTGTCCCCCTCTTCTTCATGTCTCTCTCTACATCAACACGTGTCCCCTCTTCTTCATGGTCTCTCTACATCAACATGTGTCCCCTCTTCTTCATGTCTCTTCTACATCAACATGTGTCCCCTCTTCCTCATGTCTCTTCTACATCAACATGTGTCCCCTCTTCTTCATGTCTCTTCTACATCAACATGTGTCTCCTCTTCTTCATGTCTCTTCTACATCAACATGTGTCCCCTCTTCTCCATGTCTCTTCTACATCAACATGTGTCCCCTCTTCTTCATGTCTCTTCTACATCAACATGTGTCCCCTCTTCCTCATGTCTCTTCTACATCAACATGTGTCCCCTCTTCTTCATGTCTCTTCTACGTCAACATGTGTCCCCTCTTCTTCATGTCTCTTCTACATCAACATGTGTCCCCTCTTCTCCATGTCTCTTCTACATCAACATGTGTCCCCTCTTCTTCATGTCTCTTCTACATCAACATGTGTCCCCCTCTTCTTCATGTCTCTTCTACATCAACATGTGTCCCCTCTTCTTCATGTCTCTTCTACATCAACATGTGTCCCCTCTTCTTCATGTCTCTTCTACATCAACATGTGTCCCCTCTCTTCATGTCTCTCTACATCAACAGTGTCCCCTCTTTCTTCATGTCTCTTCTACATCAACATATGTCCCCTCTTCTTCATGTCTCTTCTACATCAACATGTGTCCCCTCTTCTTCATGTCTCTTCTACATCAACATATGTCCCCTCTTCTTCATGTCTCTTCTACATAAACATGTGTCAGGCAAGATTTGGGTACGGAGGAAAAGAGAAGGTTGTATTTTCTGACGCTGCGTGAGTTCCCCGACGCACCGAGGACACATGATGCATAAGAGACATCACAAAGTGCATGTTGCATGATAGGTCCCCTTTAAAGCTTTTAGTGGAGTTCTTTTGGAAAGAAAACTCTTGTTTTTTAATGAACTGATTTGTTGGATTAAATAAGTTTAGTGTTTTGAGACGAGACTGAGAGCAGACAGTTTTGGTCCGCAGCGAAAATGTTAATGTTTAAAAGGTTAACTGGGTCTTAAAGAGTCTCACATGTGATGCAGGTAGTTGAGTCTGATAACTGTAATGTTAGGCTGCATGCTTCTTCACTACTTTAGTTTCCCCCCTAAAGCTTTTCATTGTGTTTTTGATCGTAGTGGAGTCCTATTATCATCCCTTATAAGAAGAACTTTATTGATCCCAATTTGGGACATGTTTGTGGTGCAGCAGCATTAAGGACATGGCAATGTACAATACAAATTAAAAGACTATAAATAAACAAGAAAGTAGAAAATATACATGTGAAGGATGGAATATTTAAATGTACAGCGTGATTTTAAGTCCAAGAGAAGTGGCAGAAGGGAATAATAAATGTTTGTTTGTTCGTCAGGCTGCTGGTTCTGGATGAGATGGACCAGCTGGACAGTAAGTCTCAGGACGTTCTCTACACCATCTTCGAGTGGCCGTACCTCAGCCAGTCCCGCCTCTGCCTCGTCGGTAAGAAACCCTCCCGTCGTCGTCGTTACATAAAAGCTTTGCTCCTGTGAGATAGTGCTGTAGCGACGCGTCGACTTCAAAATATCGTCGACGACATATTTCCGCGTCGCTACACACACGTGGGTCACCCAAAGCAACAAGCAGTTCGCAATCGCACTTCAAACACAATGGAGACAGAAACGGCTACCACCTCCTCCTCACAGGATTGCGCACGAAGCCCTCAAACGAAAACATCTCGCCCTAGGTCTTCAAAAGCATGGGAATATTTTAAAGTTAGTCCAAAACGCAAAGATATTTATATATTTATATCTCACTGAGACTGCTGCATAGCCTAGCAGAAGCAGCAGCTAGCTGTGGTGGCTACCATTAGCAGCTAGCATTTGCTCTCCGATTTTTACATAAAATGGAATTATGGATTATAAATTCGATCATTTTTTTATACATAGATGTTATAAACCTATGGATTAACCGATTCAGCCGCGTTTTTTCTCATTTTATTGCTATCACTTCACTCAGTGATGATACTATATACCTACATAATCTGTGGAGTCTCAGCTTTAATCGGATATATTGTAAGTGCAGCTATGATAAGTAATAAGGGTACTTTTATCTTGAGTTCTGTGCCAATGTCCGTTAGCATTTTTCGCTCAGGGGTCATTTAGATGCTTCTTATGAGACTTGTGTTTTGTTTTGGTAAACATGGTTTGTATCGTCAATTAGCTGAGATTATTTCCGTTAATCTGGTATAACACATTAATAGGTTCTTAAATATTAAGATCCCCTGAGACACAGTATCGTGAAAAACTTTTTTTTTACATTACGTTTTTTATGAATTGAACAACAGAAAAATAATCGTTAGATTAGTCGACTAATCGATCAAATAATCGCCCCGATTAATCGTTTCAAAATAATCGTTTCCTCCCCCCAGCACTACTGTGAGATAACGTGGCGAAATCAGGACGACGAAAACATTTGAATACAGACGGGAGAGAGAGAAATAAGATGTCAAAGTAGAGTTCATTTTGAGCGTTAATCCATTTGACTTTTTTACCTTTAGTTAAACTATTATTTCTTTACCTTCCAGGAATAGCTTGGAGAGTAGGCTGTTAAAGAAAGTTTAAAACTATTTAGTTAAAGTCTATAACGGGTTGTGTTTTTGTGTCGGCTCCATGAGGTGTTCAGCCGGCTGAATTTATTTAGTATTTTCTTTCTTCTAAACCTTTAATAAATAGTTTCTTTCTCTCCAGGACTAGTGTGTGCAGGTTCTCAGTGAACCATGTTATTTAATGAAAGTCTGTCTCCTCTCCAGGTATAGCGAACGCTCTGGACCTGACGGACCGGATCCTCCCTCGTCTTCAGGCTCGGCCTCAGTGTCGCCCCCTGCTGCTCCACTTCCCCCCCTACAGCCGGCAGGAGCTCAGTGACATCGTGCAGGACCGACTCTCTCAGGTACACACAGATCAAACATGGGTTAGGGCAATGATGGTATTAAAGCTTAATGCAGAGATACACAAGTACACACATAATTTCCTCCAGTAGAAGTACAGATACTCGTGTTTAAAAATACTCTGGTGAAAGTAGAAGTACTGACTAAACTTCTTTACTCAAGTAAAAGTAAAGAGGCTTTGAAATGTACTTCAGTAAAAAGTACCCATAACTAGCAGCTGCTTTAAAGAGTACCTGACCTCCCTTTATATTAATAGAACAATAATGTCATTGTTAGCTAATGAATGTTTCCATGCTGAACAACGGCAACATGACAACGTTTCCATTGGTCCCTCTTCTTTAGAGAAGACCAGGAAATGATGGATACACGGATCGTGTTCAAATCAATAGGCACGCAATGACTCTAAATAACAATGTTTTTCCCGCTCCTTCTCTCAGGCGTCGGCGGACGGGATCGTGGACGACTCGGCCGTTCAGTTTTGTGCCAGAAAAGTGTCTGCGGTGTCTGGAGACGCCAGGAAAGCTCTGGACATCTGCAGGTAAATCATGACCTCACATTATCATCGCTCACATCGTGGAGCATGCTTTCTGCTAGTTGATGGATAGTCTACATTTCAAATGAGTGCAGAGGAACGTGTCAGTTTTTAATGAGATGAACTGACAGCATAACGATCATTATTGTGTGAGCCTCCTCCATGTTGGGATCTGAAAGTGCCTTCCTGCCCTCAACAGATGCAAAGTCAACCAACAGTTGTTTTATTTGTATTTCCAGGAGAGCTGTTGAGGTGGTGGAGTCTGACGAGAGGAAGAAATCACCGGATCAGAAAGATGAAGCTCAAGGTGAGCGCTCACTTCTCCTCCGTCACTGAAGCTTCATCTAACCAGTTTCAGACTGTCTTTAACAAACCCTGCATGACTAATAAACCTTATCTCCATGGAGGCTTCAGTGCTTCAGTGCCGCCTGCTGGACGTTTAAAGTAAGCAGCAGAAGTTTCTGAGTATTACATGTTAGATACAGCAAGAGACCTCATGTGTTGCTTCCTAACTCTCTAACTCCTCATGTGTTGCTTCCTAACTCTCTAACTCCTCATGTGTTATTGCTTCCTTGTCTCTAACTCCTCATGTGTTATTGCTTCCTTGTCCCTAACTCCTCCTCTGTTTGTTCCACAGTGTCTCGGGTCAGCCTCCCTCAGGTGGCGAGGGTTTTGTCGGAGGTTTACGGCGACAGGATGGCGTCTCAGAGCGGAGGACCTGACGGAGAGAGTTTCCCTCTGCAGCAGAAGCTTCTGGTCTGCTGCCTGCTGCTGCTCACACGCAGCGGCAAGAGCAAGGAGGTCGTCCTCGGGAAGGTGAGATCAGACACTGTTAACGTTTAGAGAGAGAGAGATCTCACATGGTTTCAGAAAGCAACAGGAGGTGTTTCACGATGATGAGCCGAGTCCTGGAGCTGTGGATTCAGTTTGTTGTCTTCCTCAAGATGTGTTTATTATCTCTATTTTCTTTAGTGGTGTTTTCAACAATTCAAGTGTGAATGCATAGAGTCCCTTCTAATTAGGATTGGAAAATGTCGTAAGAATCCATTTGGAATCATTAGTCAAAGTCCACTTTATTATAAATATCTATTTTTCATATTTTGAGTAATTCTACAGTTTGACGATCATAAATATTGTTTTCTGGCATCACTTTAACATTTTACAGTTTGGACAAAACCCTGGTGTTAATCAATTCAACATTATACACCTTCACCTCAGTACACCTGATTCTGATCTCTGGCTGTGTTTACCATGTCGAATGGGGATACAAATATTCACAATGTTCACAGTTGCTAATCTTAAAACACAGTAATTGGTTAGAGTGGATTTAAAGCTAAATGCTATTTGAAAATGTTGAAGCGTGTGCTGCTTATTTTTAAAACATCCAGCAGATGGCACTGAAGCCTCCATGGAGATAATGTTTATTATCTTTTTAGATGCCATTTTATAATATGTTTCTTAATGTCTTTCATTTTTGTAAAGCACTTTGAATTGCCTTGTGTTGAAAGTTGCTGTATAAATAGCCTTGCCTATTAACCATGCAGGTTGTGTGTTAAAGTCTAACCCATGTTTCTCTCTCAGCTCCATGAGGTGTACAGCCGGCTCTGCTCCCAGAGACAGGTCTCTGCGGTCGGGCAGTCAGAGTGTCTGTCGCTCTGCGGCCTGCTGGAGAGCAGAGGGGTGTTCGCTCTGAAGAAAGCCAAGGAAGCCCGTCTCACTAAGGTAAATATATCACTCTGTATCACTATCTATCACTCTGTATCACTATATCAGAGTTCCCGTTAGAATATTTTTTCGCCGGTCAACATGTCCGTTAAAGTTTAAATCTTCTGGACAAAATTTGAAAAGTTCCGGTCAAAGGTCTTCTTTGTTATTTATTGAGCTTTAAAACAAAGATTAACTATTCAGTGTTCAGTAATTTACAATAACACGGGAATAATAAACGGAGCGCTCTCTCCCTCTCCTGACAGCCCGCCAGTATCATGCAGCTCGCGGATCCAGTAAAGAGTGACCCGACAGTAAAACTAAACATATCTATAACTAGTTTAGGTAGTTTGAGAGGCAATTAAAATAGCTACGTGTGCTATTCTAACCTGAAGTGTGTGTTTTGTCCGCTCACCGCTGCATGTGATCATCCAGAGCTGCGTGTCGACTCGTCAGCAGCAGCTGATCTCTCTCCCGTCAGATTAGACTTCACTCGCGTTTATGTCCATATCGATCAGATCCAGCTAGTTCTAGCTAATGATAAGACTACCTGCTTATCAAAAGACACCTAAACAATAAGCGTCGCTATGCAACCGGGTGAGGCCACAAAGTATAGCGCAGCATTATGCATTTGTTTACATGCCCTCCGGAACCCCGAGGCATTACCAACAGATCAACGCACAATCAACCCATACAGGACATCTCTTTCTCCACATTACGTGTTAGACATTAGAATTGACTATTCTTTTCTGTCACATACTCTTCTGTCTGTCACATAAGTGGCGCAACTGATGTGGTATTGCGCTAAGCGGAAATTATTTTTGACCGGACAGATTTAGATTTGCCGGTCTTCAGCATATTTTACCGGTCATATTCCGGTAATTACCGGCTAACGGGAACTCTGCACTATATATCTCTCTCGATCACTCTGTATCCTATCTATCACTCTGCATCACTATCTATCAATCTGTATCACTATATATCACTCTGTATCTCTCTTATCACTCTGTATCACTATCTATCACTCGGTATCACTCTGCATCACTATCTATCAATCTGTATCACTATATATCACTCTGTATCTCTCTATCACTCTGTATCACTATCTATCAATCTGTATCACTATCTATCACTCGGTATCTCTCTGTATCACTATTTATCACTCTGTATCTCTCTATCACTCTGTATCACTATCTATCACTCTGTATCACTATCTATCACTCTGTATCACTATCTATCTCTCTGTATCACTATCTATCACTCTGTATCACTATTTATCACTCTGTATCACTATATATCACTCTGTATGACTATCTATCAATCTGTATCACTATCTATCTCTCTGTATCACTCTGTATTACTATCTATCACTCTGTATCACTATATATCAGTCTGTATCACTATCTATCACTCTGTATCACTATCTATCACTCTGTATCACTATCTATCACTCTGTATTGCTCTGTATAACTATCTATCGCTCTGTATCACTATCTATCACTCTCTATCACTATTTATCACTATCTATCACTCTGTATCACTATTTATCACTCTGTATCACTATCTATCGCTCTGTATCACTATCTATCACTCTGTTTCTCTCTATCACTATCTATCACTCTGTATCACTATCTATCACTATTTATCACTCTGTATCTCTATCTATCACTCTGTATCTCTCTGTATCACTATCTATCACTCTGTATCACTATCTATCAATCTGTATCTCTCTATCACTCTGTATCACTATCTATCAATCTGTATCTCTCTGTATCACTATCTATCACTCTGTATCACTATCTATCACTCTGTATCTCTCTCTATCTCTCTGTATCACTATCTATCACTCTGTATCACTATCTATCAATCTGTATCTCTCTCTATCTCTCTGTATCACTATCTATCACTCTGTATCACTATCTATCAATCTGTATCTCTCTCTATCTCTCTGTATCACTATCTATCACTCTGTATCACTATCTATCACTCTGTATCTCTCTATCACTCTGTATCTCTCTATCACTCTGTATCACTATCTATCACTCTGTATTACTCTCTATCACTCTTTAGCACTATCTATCGCTCTGTATCACTCTTTAGCACTGTGTATTACTCTGTATCACTCTTTAGCACTGTGTATTACTCTGTATCACTCTTTAGCACTTTATATTACTCTGTATCACTATCTATCACTCTGTATCTCTCTCTATCACTATCTATCACTCTGTATCTCTCTGTATCACTATCTAGCACTCTGTATCTCTCTCTATCAATCTCTCTGTATCGCTATCTATCACTCTATCACTATTTATCACTCTGTATCACTATTTATCACTCTGTATCTCTCTCTCTATCACTCTGTATCACTATCTATCACTCTGTATCACCATCTATCACTCTGTATCTTTCTCTATCTCTCTGTATCACTATCTATCACTGCATATCTCTGCATCACTCTGAACACCTGAAGTAAATTTATTTTATTTTCACACAAATGTCCATTTTGAGTATTTTTTACGGCTGCAACTCTTGTATTATTGGTCTCAAATCATTGAGAAAAAAACTTGTCCAACAAAGTCCATTTAAAAACCCACAAACTGTGGAAAGTGACTCAAAAATATGTTTTAAGGCTGCAACACTTTCTCATATTTGGTGAGAAAGACATCAGAAAAATCTTCATTTAAGAAAAACATTGCATAAGATGTCCCATTGAACTTCTTTTATTCTATAAAACATTAAAAAAAAAAGTTTAATTAAAAACTCTAAAACCTAAAACAAAGTCTTGTGTATATGGAAAGCAACAATTAAATATTTGGTTTAAAAAAAGACAAGTCGCTGCCGTTTCAGGCGTTTCTTTATCAAACAAAGATCTGATACCTCTCGTACATCTGTTGGGGTCTTATATGTTATCTGTAAATCAGGAAGTTGAGGATGTATCCTGACATGTTGTTGTTTTTCCCGCAGGTGTTTCTGAAGATCGAGGAGAAGGACGTGGAAAACGCTCTGAAGGACCGCACGCTGCTGGGCAGTATCCTCGCTGCAGGACTGCCCTCGTGATCACATCACTATTATTATTTTTTAGAATTTATTTGTTCCTATTTTTTATTTGTATTCTCGTTTTTGCTGAGAGTTTGTACAGTTTTTGAAAACAAATTATTTTCTGATGTTGACGCTCAGTTTTTACAAAATGTCGGCGCGCTTCAGTCGTGAATTTACAGCATCTTGTTTCAGTTCAGATGTGAAACGTTTTACAATTTTTATGCTGTAAATAAACAAATGTACAGACGTTTTAACCACTTGTTGTTTTTGACACATTGCAAAGAAACAAAGAACCACAGCAAAGCAGTTTATAATTGTTTTTAGCACAGAGGGAATTTTATAATTTTGTTTAGGTATATTTCCACTTCCTATCTCCTGCTATTATTCACAATATCACTTTTTATGCTTCATATACCAGCACACATCTCTACTCTGTGCCCTTTATGGTTCTTCGCCTCTGCGTTCAGAGGGAATTCAGCTTACGTAACTTCCAGATATTTTCACTTTTCACACAAATTAAGCTTTAAAGGGGACCTATCATGCAAAATTCACTTTTTGATGTCTTTAATACATCAACATGTGTCCCCGGTGTGTCTGGGAACTCACGCAGTGTCAGAAAAATAAAACCCTCTCTCTTTTCCTCCGTACCCAAATCTCTAAAAACGGGGATACAACGGTGCTGATCCAGATTTGCGTCCGATTATGACGTAATATCTGAAATGTGGACCCACGGCCCAATCAGAAACGTTGCTATCAGAAACAATGCCCGACTGTTTTGGACGTAATATGGTCGGTTTTTACATTAGCATCGCTAACACTCAGAGCTAACCTGTACTGGAGAGCATGTGTGTGAAGAAGCAGGAAGTAAAAAGGAACTCACCTTAGGCGCTTTCACACCGCAGTACTTTTCCCACAAAGGTTCATGAGAACTCTTTAGTTCTCATGAAATAAGTACAGATCGCGTTCGCACCGGAATAAGTCCCTGGGGGAGGATTAGGCTTCTTCTTCTTCGGGTTTACTGGCAGGCCGCAAACAACTTCACGGCGTATACTGCCACCGGAAGTCCCCGGAGTTGGGGACTGGCTTCAGTAGAAGCTGCTGGGACTCCCAGCAGCTTCTACTGAAGCCTTCCGAGTAAATCGCCTGAATGCCGACACCTCCTCATCTCCATCGCTCCCATGTTTTCTTTTGTGTTGCCATAAGTTAGTCTCTCTGCGTTTCTGCGCTGGGCTAATGCTAATATTAATAATGCTAATGCGAGGATATCAAAATGGCGGCTTCACAAAACTTTTTGGGAGTTGTACGGGGCGTGGTTTGCAATCCGCCCAGCCAATCAGAAATAGGAACCTTTTTCTCCCACGAAAGTCCCTGCTCTCTAGAAGGGACGGAAAAGGGGGTAAAAAGGTTCTCATGAACTAATTTTAGTTCCGGCTCTTTTTGGTGTGAACGCGACATTTCTGAACTATATCGGAACTAAAGTGGGAACGCGCCTCTTGTGGTATAACCAAGAGAGAAAGCCTTTGAGCTCCATACTGTTTCAGAAATAATCATTGATAATCCATGATATGGCGTTTCATCACGGCAGTATTTAGTTTAGACTGTAGCTGCCGGTCCCGCATGAGCTCAGCCCCCTCCTTTTTTCTTTTTTAAGCTTTATACATAAAATCAGCACTTTTGAAACAGGAAGTGAAATAGAGGGATATGAGGCATGGCTACAATGGGTGATCTGTTTGGTATTTTGAGCAAAACACTTCATAGACATGTTTTTTATATATCTGAGACCTATGCTATTGCCTAGAAATACCATGATAGGTGACCTTTAAGGTTAAAACAGATGTTTGAAGGGATGCAATGCAAAAAATAAGAAGAGATGAAATCATTAAGAAGTTCAGATTATTTATTTAGATTATATTTTATTGTACAATTGTCATTTATATTTGTAATTTGTCACATATGACAGAATCACCTGAAGAAACCAATATCAAGTTCAGAGACGCATTTCTGCATCAAACTGCTGGTTATTTAATCATAAGATATCTGAAGCAGCATTACAAATACTCAACTTCATTCTACAGCTGTGATTCCTTTCAGGTTGAAAAAACAATTGACATTTTCAATCACAATAAATGTTATTGTCCATACATACAGTACGGAAAGCGTCCCAAGGAAACATTGCAACAATGAAAGAATAAAATAGAAGTATTAAATGACTTGCCCGTGGAGAGTAAAACAATATATCCATATCTACACATAATTCATCAAAAGACCTACAAATATCAAAAAGTTAAACTCATGACCCATAGTGCTATATAGCGTCTCATTATTAACTAGATGTTGATAAAAGGAGAATTGACAGCTTTCATTTGTTAGTTTTGTTGATTTCATGCAGTTTCAGCACAACATACAAAATGAATGCATTTCTTAAAAGCCAAGAATTCACAAAAAACATAATCAAACAATCTCATGACATCATTTAAAGGATCATTTGAATATCACTTAAGGTAAGAATGGAGAAACCAGCTTGAGTGAGCTAGAATTTGAAAGTACACAACCGGACAAAATATGCCCCTTCCTTCAGACTTCCTTACAGAGCCCCTCCTCCAACACACACGACCGCGCACATGACCAATGAGGGCACGAGATCAGTTTGTGCCCAGATGGAAGGCTGACAGGCAGGTAGGCCATCCAGTTACTTTAGCCGGCTCAGATGATTGGTCGTGCTTTTTACAGCGCAACGGCTTCCACTGATGCATTTATTGTCAAAGCATTTAATATATTCATTGCTATCGGGATGGAATATAACAAAAAGTGCTTCTGAAGTGAATTACCTACCCCACCTTTAAAAGCTATAAACACATTATAATTAAGTATAACAAAATGATAAACTATAAAAATAAACATATTAGTTTTGTTGCACTGAGACTTTGAGTAAAACGTGTAAAACTCTGTAAATAAAACATGATCAAATCTTCTTAACATTTAAAATCTTACAGACTCAAATTAAATTCTGATTATCATCTGTTGTTTTTTACCTTGATTATATCAAAAGGATCTGGACAGACGAAGTCAGAATAAAGTCTGAACTAACACTCCTGAGCATCACAGAGGAATCTCACTTTGACAGATTTTGATATCAGCAGTTTTAGCATCACCAGCTTCTCCAATACTGAAATATGGGAAGAGTTTCTCAGTGAAAGTGTCTCTGTGAGTGCAGATGGGAGTCATGTGTTCAGGGTCATAGAAGCACACCTCCCCCCTGTCATAGTCCAGCTGGACTCTGATCCTCTGGAGATTCTTCTCCACTCTGACAGTCTCACCACCATTACTGTATTTTCCACTGAGATGTGCTAAACACCAGATTCCATATTCTGGTGAGGCCGTCAACTCTCCCTTCCTGTCAACTGACTCTTTAGTCAAACCTATAATCCAGTCAGGATGATCTCCCACCTCCACCTCCCAGCTGTGTCTCCCTGAGCTGAAGCCCTCAGAGCCCAGAACATCAGCACCGTTAGTGAATCTCTCTGGATTATCAGGAAGCTGCTGAGATGTGTCTCCATGTCTCACACTGGTCAGATCATCAGACAGAGAGAGCCAGCTGCTTGCAGTGTTTGGGTCCAGAAGGACAGGACTGAAGTGGACCTGGTCCTTCATCTTCTCCCAGACTCTGAAGGACAGGTTGCCCAGGTGTTTGGCCACATCTGTCAGCGCTCCTGAGAGCAGCTGTGGGTCTGACAGTGCGCTCTGGACTCTGGCTCTGCTCTGAGTGGCTTTATAACTGCTGAGGAAGGGCCCGTTGTGTTTCTGCAGCTCTTCTTCAACAGCAGAGATACTGTGTGACAGAGAGGAGATGTGCTCCTGAATGCTCTTCATCTCTCTGCTGATAGTCTTCCCCTTCAGCTCCTCTTCCTCCCTCAGAGCTGCCAGTCTGGACTCCTCTTCCTCTTTCAGGAACTGGTGGAGCTTGATGAACTCTGCTCTGATCTGCCTCTCTGTGGACAGCAGCTGCTTCTCGGACACTTGAATCACTTCCTTGTATGTTTCCTCCACTCCTTTGTATGTGTCCCTCTTGTCCTGCAGAGACTCTAAGTCAGATTTCAGCAGGTCCTTCAGCTCACTGACTGCTTGTTCTACAGGAACCACCTCGTGACTCCGGTGGAGAGAGAACTCACAGACAGGACACACAGCTCTCTCTTCATCCTTACAGAACAATCTAGGCTCTTCTGGATGTTTACTACACACCACCTCCACCTTCTTCTCTCTTGTCTCTGTCTCAGATGATCCAGCTTTCTGTCTCTCAGCAAAGGAGTCAGCCAGCTCCTTCAGTGTAAAGTTCACTATGGGATAATCTTTAGAAGATTTTCTTTTACAAATGGGACAGTTTTTGTTCTTACTTTGTTCCCAGAATTTCTGCAGGCAGCTCGAACAGAAGCTGTGGTTGCAGCCCAGAGACACGGGATCTCTGAAAGTCTCTGAGCACACATGGCAGCTCAGGAAACTCTCAACAAGAACGGTTTTCTCAGCCATTTGATATTAAAGTTATTTTCAATAGGACTCACCAACTCACAATGTCTCTCCACTTCTCCCCAAATATACTCCAAACGTGTCTCGCAGCAGAGATCTCACACCCTGTAATGGCGTCTCAGCTCTTCAACAATGTCAAAATCCTCTTTCGTTTTCTCTGCCCTCCGTCACAGGGTGAATGATCAACATCAGGAAATGCTGCTATGTCATTTATTCACCAGCAGATGGAGTCAGGATGTCTTTCAGAGGGAAATGTACTTTGGATTCAGTTCAGGACGATGACTTTGTCCAGGTAGGCCTATCTGTTGGAAGAGAAACACATAAGATTAATACGTTTTAAAAAACAACAACATGACAAAAAGGAAAAAGCTCATATATCAAAGTTTGAAGTGGACAGTTTTTGTTCTTACTTTGTTCCCAGAATGTCTGCAGGCAGCTCGAACAGAAGCTGTGTTTGCAGCTCAGAGACACAGGATCTCTGAAAGTCTCTGAACACACATGGCAGCTCAGGAAACCTCAAGAAGCAGCTCACCTTTACTTCCCCTCGGTTTGCCTCTTACGGTCCTCTAACTGTGCGTTGCTGGAGATCTCCCGCAGTGTACTGGTGTCGAGGCTCTCTTCAACAATGTCAGAATTCACTTTCAATCCTTCTAATCTCTTTTACTAGTTAATCATTGACAGTTATAAATGCAGTCATCTGTTTTTATGACCAGCAGATATATTGGAAAGATGAACTTTAGAATCTGAAAGACTTCCAAGTTCTGACTCAAACATGTTTTAACCCATTTGTTTCCTCCGTTTGATCATCTGACCAGTGTTCAATCTAAACTTAACCCTTGTACGGTGTTCGGGTCTGTGGGATCCGTTTTCATTATTTAGCTAAAGAAAAATGATATGATCAATTATTTTTTCAAACTCACACTCAATGGCCTTGGCTCATTTTCTGAACATCAGAACACATTTTCAATGACCCCCCCCCCCTCCCTACACATTTATATTACATACTAGGTGCCTTAACTAAAGTTGTGTTAATTAATAAAGAGTTAAAGCATTGAACAGAATATATTTCCAGCTGAAGTTCTGTAACGCTTTGTGCTTCTTATAAATATTAATCTACTTATTTTGTACTATAACACATTATTTTTTACATGATTTAATGTTATGTTTACCATTTCATTGTAAAGCAGATTTATTTTGCAGTTGCTTGTGGAGCAAAAACAACTAAACCTTTTATTTGTTGAAACAGTTTTTTTTGAGCATTTGTATTGGCAAGGAGACAGGAGTGTGACACATCTGTGCTTTAATTGAAGTTAAATGTAATGAATCCTGACCACTTCTTCCCCGCTGCTTCCTTAAAGCTCTGATTGGATTAAAGGTTTAAAGACTTCCTGCCGCAGCTCAGAGCTGTAAGACCAACTAAAGACCAACTAAATGTGTTTATCCTGCAGGAGAATGCAACTCTTAAATATCCCATTTCTTAATGAACCCCTGAACACACCGTCCCTCCTTTACAATATGATATTCCAGTAGGGAGTAAAACCTGAAGAATAATGGGAGGGATGAGACCCTCTGTAATGGTCACACATGCAGAGCACACAGTGACATGTTCTCTGTATTTAACCCCTCCTAGTACCAGGAGTCTAGTACTAGGAGCAGTGGGCAGCTATATCGTACAGCGCCCAGGGAGCAATGGGAGTGAGGGGGGAAGGGGGATGTCCGGTGCCTTGCTCAAGGGCACCACGGCAGGGCAGGAGGTGAACTGTGTTGAGATCTCCATATTAGGTTGAATACTTAAAACTAAAGTAAATATAATCAATTATATTCTGTATAACCACAATGAAAATGCTTCATATTTTATGGTTTTCTATATTTACAGTATAAACAAAACACAAGTGGTTTGTTAAATTGAGTGTGTGAGGCCTATTATGGTTTTATGGGTGTCACTGATAAGAGAGGAGAGACAGTTTATTCCCTCTTCCCTCACAGCAGTACACAGGGAGGGGGGCAGAGAGAGAGAGAGAGAGAGAGAGAGAGGAGAGAGAGAGAGAGAGAGAGAGAGAGAGAGAGAGAGAGAGAGAGAGCAGGAGAGGGATAGAGAGGAGAAGAGAAGAGAGATGAGGAGAGGAGAGAATGAGAGAGAGATAGAGAGAGAGAGAGGAAAGACACGGAGACGGGGGGGGGATTCCCCTGGTAAAGCTCTTTCCCTGGAGAGCTGGGGTGTTTTCGCCTCGGTAGGTTCTCGGTCAAACTTGGTAAATATTGCTTACATTTCTGTGTAGTGAATGCTGAGTGAATTGTTGGATGAAAGTTTAAAACTGTTAATTCTAACTGATAATTTTGAGGAGCTGCCTCTCAATGTGTCAGGCTATAGGTTGTGAATGTTAGCACCGGCGATCCGTGAGGAGATTCCTCTGGAGTCTGTCGGAAGACTTTAATGTCTAAACTATGAATTAAGGTTTCAGATTAGAAAATGAGAACAGCATGATATATTTCGTATTATTGTAATGTTGTAAAGAGAGAAGGTAAAAACCCTGTATAAGTGTTGACCAATTTTTCTTCAAATAAACTGATCCCACCTTTTGGATTGGGACAACTTAAAAGACATCTGCGCTCTCCTCTCCTGCTTCAAAGGTAAGATTGCACCCTGCCACACTCACACTTAGGTAGGGCCACACCTCATTACTGATATCAAAATCCTTCGGGATCCCTTAAACAGATTTAGCGGGTCGTCTGCATTGAAACAGCAGTTGATTGAACCTGGTTCTTCAGGAGTTAATAGAGGTGAGATCTTGCTGACGTTGGTGGATCTGAGCCAAGCAGTAAACTTACATAGACTCAATAACTTCTGTTAGGTCAATTAGTAGGTCTGAGTAATTTGCCGGAATAAATTATCAGCCCCTCCCGACTCCAACAACTGGGACCTCTCCAAGTAGAAGTCCGTACTCCATGTTTAGGTCTGGTCGGGGACTTGAACCGGCGACCCTACAGGTCCCAGTCCTTAAGTATATTACCTTATAATACTTATTTAAAGTACTGCAATGTGCACTTAAAGGTCCCATGTAATGCTTTTCCGGTTATTAACCGTCCCCTTGTGTTATGAAGGTTTTTCTGCATGTAAACGGTCTGCAGTCACAAACCCTCAAAGTACACCCTGTAGCGAGAAAAACTCTAACACAGAAAATACCTGTCTATGCTGCCCCAGAACGCCTCGTTGGACATTTCTCTTTTTCCATTGTTTAAATCTTGGGTATAGTGACGTAACGGCTCCGCAGATTGGTCCGTTACGTCCGCAGAGCTGTTACGTTTGGACCAACCCGCGGACTTCCTCACACACTCGGAGAGACGTTGTGTTATTTCAGGTTCATCCAGTGCCCTAACTACATTGTTATAATGGTATATATTTATGAGTAATATATAGGGCCGGGACTCGATTAAAAAAATTAATCTAATTAATTATAGGCTTTGTAATTAATTAATCGAAATTAATCGCATTTTTAATCACATATAAATATTTGACCTAAGAACAGTGAGAAGCAATTTTTTTCACATGGATTTTAGTATACCATTAGGCGCATTCACACCGCAGTACTTTTCCCACAAAGGTCTATGACAGGCATCCTCAAACTACGGACTCTGGTCCGGATCCGGACCGAACCAGCACTGTCTCCGGACTCTGAGCAAATTATACTTTTCATATGTATTATCTCTCTGTATTATATGTGAGACATCGCCACAACGCATTCGCAACGAGTCAAAATTCTCCGCTATGTCCACTGCAACAGCGCTCTGCATGTCTGACTGTTCCACTGTGTTTCCACCTGTGTTGTGTCAACGCTTTGGTCCAATCACATTCAGCATCCAGTCAGCGTTTTTCCCCCCAAACAATCTGCGAATCAGAGGCACAGTAGGGCGGGTCTTCGCGGAATGCGGGTGGGAAAAAATGTGTGTGTCTCTTTCAACCTGTCTAAGTCAGAGCGAGAATTAAAACAAAAACAAAAAAAATTCAGAGCGAGAGTTAACAGCTCATCTAGTTCCATCTGTACTGTAGCTAGTAGCCTAGTTTCACCTACCGGGGTGGCAACTGACCACCCTACAAATAGGCCTTGCCACCCCAGCTGCCACCCCAGTTGGCAGCTTTGTTTGAAAGAAAAGTTGTGGCTCATCGGACATTTATGAGAGAAAGTCTCTAATGTCCGAGTGCAAGTGAATGCAGCACAAGATGCACGTCATGTAACCCCTCCCCCCGGTCCTGGCGCGAGCGTGGACATACGATTTGGCGGCGATTTCATTTTGAACTGGACGGCGCAAAACGAGAAGCATTCGGACCCAAGCGCTGAAGGAATGAGGTATTTGCGGTCTACACTGACAGAGAAGAGACTGTCAGTGTGGCTGTACTCAGCATTGAATCAAAACGCACTGAAGCTGTTGATCTTAATACGTTTGTGAGGCGTTTTGCTGAACAAGATGGTAATCGCCGCATTCAGCTGTAATAGACATGCCAACTTGATGCTCTGCTCACGGATGAGCATACACAACTATTAAGATGATGACCTTACGTGTGTAAATATATGTTTTTCTTTGAGGGGGTCTGCCCCCAAAAAACTGTTTTAAGTCCTGAGAAAGTCAAATAAGACGGTGTTTAAAACTACACTGCCCAGCCAAAACAAAGTAACCACTTTGATTGAACTAGGCCAGTAGGTAAGGACTTTCCACTGGATAATAACTGCAGTATAAAAGAATGCATGACTGAAGTGATGGAGACCATGTTGAAGGCAAACAAAAAGAGGAAATAACAGGTCAAGCAAATCCCCCTCTCAGATTCCACAGCAACCAGAAGAACATAAAGACTGGCTGGTGATTTGATTCATCAGCTTTGTGATGGAATAAAAAATGCACAGTGCATTTCCTTAGCTGTGGGTGAGTCCACTGACACCACTGACAATGCTCAGTTGCTGGTGTGTGAGTTTTTATGATGAGGCAAAGGGGGAGTTTGTTGAAGATGTGTTGGGCCTGACGAACCTCAGTGGACACACAAGGGGGCAAAGACATTTATAAAGCAATAATGGGAATGCTGAATGAAAGAGGGTGCAGCTGCCTTTATTCATAACTGTGCAGCTCTTACACTGCGACTCTGAGGGGTCAAGCACAGACACAATAACAATGAAAACTGCTGCATACAGATTATTTTTGTTTTTGCAACCTCGTGGTAAGAATCTTGTTGCAATTGTTTAAAAGTTTGAATGACCGTAATAACGCACCTTTGTCTTATTGAAACATTTATTTTGGACCTTTAAGATTTGTATTTGAGTACCCCTGGTCTATGAGAACTTAGTTCATGAGAACTCTTTGAACCTGGTGGATTAGGCAAATGAAGCCGCTGACGTCACTTCTTCTTCTTCTGCTTTGGGTTTACTGGCAGGCCGCAAACCACTTCACGGCGTATACTGCCGCCCAAAGTCCCGGCCGGAAGTCCCCGGAGTTGGGGACTGGCTTCAGTAGAAGCTGCTGGGAGTCCCAGCAGCTTCTACTGAAGCCTTCCGAGTAAATCGACAGAACGCCGACACCTCCTCATCTCCACCACTCCCATGTTTTATTTTGTGTTGCCATAAGTTAGTCTCTCCGCGTTTCTGCGCTGGGCTAATGCTAATGCTAATAATGCTAATGCGAGGATAATAAAATGGCGGCTTCACAAAACTTTTTGGGAGTTTTACGGGGCGTGGTTTGCAATCCGCCCAGCCAATCAGAAATATAGCTCTTTTCTCACAAGAGAGCCGCACGAAAGTCCCTGCTCTCTAGCAGCTCTCTGCTCTCTAGTATGGAGGACGGAACATGACTTAAGTATAAATAAATAATTGTATGAAGAAATACAGGAATAAATAAATAAATATGTAAATAAATAAATAAATACAGGAATAAATAAATACAGGAATAAATAAATGACGAAATAAATACAGAAATAAATAAATGTTGAAATGAATACACAAATAAATAAATAAAAGAATAAATGCATAAATAAATATGGAAATAAATACATCAATGTATAAATAAATAAATAAAAGTCGAAAATAAAACAGAACACACGTTATTATATATCTTTCATTTATTTCTACATTTACGCAACATACATTTATTTATTTATGTATTTATGTGTCCGTATGCTAATGAGGTGGGCGGTCCTAACCTCAGTCTGAAGCAGGATTCGCCAATTGTTGGAGCCAGGCAGAAGCAATAGATTTGTGGCAAGTCACATCATGTCGAGCTGAGCCAAGTCCTCTATACATCGTTCCACACGAAACTGGACATAGTCTTTTGGTTCTCCGTTCTCTAAATGGTCCGCTAATGATCGTAAATGATCTCCAATGGCTCTTAAATCAATATCCATAAATAAACCTTACAATTGTGGATAAACCATGGATGTATAAAGATAAGGGCTAAACAGTAAAGCTCCTGCATTCGAATCAGCGCGGTTATCCAGGCGTTAGTAGTAGAGCCCTCTGCCAGAAATGATCACACACTCCTGTAACCAATCCTGCTTCAGACTGAGGTTAGGACCGCCCACCTCATTAGCATACGGACACATAAATACATAAATAAATAAATGTATGTTGCGTAAATGTAGAAATAAATGAAAGATATATAATAACGTGTGTTCTGTTTTATTTTCGACTTTTATTTATTTATTTATACATTGATGTATTTATTTCCATATTTATTTATGCATTTATTTATGCATTTATTCTTTTATTTATTTATTTGTGTATTCATTTCAACATTTATTTATTTCTGTATTTATTTCGTCATTTATTTATTCCTGTATTTATTTATTCCTGTATTTATTTATTTATTTACGTATTTATTTATTTATTCCTGTATTTCTTCATACATTTATTTATTTATACTTAAGTCATGTTCCGTCCTCCATACTCTAGCAGGGACTTTCGTGGGGGTAAAAAGGTTCTCATGAACTAATTTTAGTACCGGCTCTTTTTGGTGTGAACGCGATAAAAGAGGCTAACGTCCACGCTAGCTGCTATTATGTTTTGCATTGAGGTGATACTTGAGGCTTGATGTGCTGCGGTGATATGCGAATTCCTTTTTGCATAATTTGCACACAACCGTGCTCTTATCGACGCTTCCATTCGTCCGTTTTTTAAAACAACATTTCCCACTGTTGTTCACTGTGGTTTGTTGTTGTCTGAAGTCATGAACGTTAGTTGGTGCTCCAGTATAATCGGTACGCCTGAAACTCATCCAGTGAGAAACGTTCCGCGGTGCAAAAATAAGTGCGATTAAAATGCGTTAATTTTTTTAACGCGTTAATTTTTGTGTAATTAATTAATCTTAATTAACGCGTTAAAGTCCCGGCCCTAGTAATATATAAACAAATCATATATATAAATAATATACATTTTATATATAACATTTTTAAATATATATAAATAAGAGTGATCTTTATGATTCATTATATAACTTAAACATACATTAAAACAAATCGTAAATAAATAAATTGTATAAAATAGTTTATATACAAATCACAAACTACGATTTTATTGAAATACGATTTATTCACAGCAAAGTGGAGGAAAATATATTTGTACATGTTTTCAATACAGTGACCAAAATGTAAACGTGGTGGAAAATAAAGGATTATTAAACATATGATGATAATAATAAATAACAACTCAAAGCTTTAGATACAGCGAATAAAAGTCACTTTCTCAAACAGTGCGTTAGATAAACTCCTCACATATAATATAATAATTTTTTAAGCTTTAATATTTTCTGGTGATTGTCTCAAACATTCAGACTTAATTTTTTTACATTAAAACCACTTTAATCTGTTTTCTCAGTTTCTTCTTGTAAAGGGATCATTTAAAAGTAAACAGTAAAAAAACATCCTCTTTTTACCATAACAGTCAAACTTAAACACAACAGCGCCTACTCTTCTACATCAACATGTGTCCCCTCTTCTTCATGTCTCTTCTACATCAACATGTGTCCCCTCTTCTTCATGTCTCTTCTACATCAACATGTGTCCCCTCTTCTTCATGTCTCTTCTACATCAACATGTGTCCCCTCTTCTTCATGTCTCTTCTACATCAACATGTGTCCCCTCTTCTTCGTGTCTTCTACATCAACATGTGTCCCCTCTTCTTCATGTCTCTTCTACATCAACATGTGTCCCCTCTTCTTCATGTCTCTTCTACATCAACATGTGTCCCCTCTTCTTCATGTCTCTTCTACATCAACATGTGTCCCCTCTTCTTCATGTCTCTTCTACATCAACATGTGTCCCCTCTTCTTCATGTCTCTCTACATCAACATGTGTCCCCTCTTCTCCATGTCTCTTCTACATCAACATGTGTCCCCTCTTCTTCATGTCTCTTCTACATCAACATGTGTCCCCTCTTCCTCATGTCTCTTCTACATCAACATGTGTCCCCTCTTCTTCATGTCTCTTCTACATCAACATGTGTCCCCTCTTCTCCATGTCTCTTCTACATCAACATGTGTCCCCTCTTCTTCATGTCTCTTCTACATCAACATGTGTCCCCTCTTCCTCATGTCTCTTCTACATCAACATGTGTCCCCTCTTCTTCATGTCTCTTCTACATCAACATGTGTCCCCTCTGTGGAAAGAGACTCTGAAAGTTTCAGGAACAAAGATTCTCTCTCTTTTTGATCCATTTCTATAAAAACATGTCTGAAAATGAGCTGATCAGATTTTGGCCACTTTATGATGTCATAACGATGTTTTGTCTTGAGTAACCATTAGCCAATCAGCAACCAAGGTAACCCCTCCCCCCCCTTATCACCTGAATCTCCTCCTAGAGCACCATTGAGTTCTTTGTAACCAAATGTCTCTCAGAGGGGCGTGGGGAGGGGCTCCTTATTTTCATCTAAAGTAACAGACAGAGAATCAGCACTTTTGAAACAGGGCTGAAACAGAGGGGATTATGGGTAATGCTGCAATGATCTGTTTGGTGTTCCAGCCAATCAGAGACAGGCTCTGTATATATCTGAGACCTGTGATATATTGATGAAGAACAGGATAATAGGAGACCTTTAAGCATATTTAAACATTTCCCCCAAAATGTTTCGAATATCAGTGTTTAATCTTAATTTGTGTTCATCATAAGTGATTAAAAACATCAGGAGTTATAATATATAAACATAAATACAAAGAATGCAGTCAGTCTTAAAGGGGCTTTTTGAAGCTCATTTCCAGGTTCATACAGGGGGGGACCCCAAAAGCATATTAGGGCTTCTTTAAAGTAACACTAGTTCTGTAAATAACCATCTCATATTAAGTGGACACTTCAAAAGCTGCTATAAATAAATAAATAAATAAAAGTATTATTAAATATAAATACTTCTGCACATTCAGAGTGATGAGGTTTGGACGGTGATAAAATCAATAAACATTCTCAGTGGATTTAAATTCATTCAGTTTTGAATATTACTCAGCGCTGTAAGTCAGACCACATGATGAACGTTAGCCCTCAGTTTCACATCCACACGCTTCCACAATCTTTAGTTACAACTAACAGTGAAATAACTGATGGTGAATTAGATCAAACTCATTGTCTGTCACTGGGATGGAAACAGATAACATGTCAAAAGATACGAGGTGATCAAATACGTTACAATCTATTAAAACTGTATCTTTAATTGGACGTTAGCGTTCCCTTTTAATCGCTGGATATAAAACACAAACTGAAACTTGTTTTTTTGGGATAAAAGCTAAATGTAATGTGATGCAACTATTTCACTGCAATTCTTAAATTATTCACAATTCATTTCATGTTTTGTTCTGTATATATTTAAGTTATTATTGATAAAACTGAATTCAAGCCAAAGTAAATAATTATTTGTTATTTAAAAAAATACTTATTGTGTGTATATAGTGTGTGTGTGTGTGTGTGTGTGTGTGTGTGTCTCTCTGTGTGTGTGTCTGTGTTTGCGTGTCTATGTGTGTCTGAGTGTGTGTGTGTGTGTGTCTCTCTCTCTGTGTGTGTGTGTCTGTGTGTGTGTGTGTGTGTCTCTCTGTGTGTGTGTGTCTGTCTGTGTTTGCGTGTCTGTGTGTGTCTGAGTGTGTGTGTGTGTCTCTCTCTCTCTGTGTGTGTGTGTGTGTGCGTGCGTCTCTCTCTCTGTGTGTGTGTGTCTGTGAGTGTGTGTCTGTGTGTGTGTGTCTGAGTGTGTGTTTGTGTCTGAGTGTGTGTGTGTGTGTCTCTCTCTCTGTGTGTGTGTGTCTGAGTGTGTGTCTCTTTTTTAAAGAAAGGGATGAATGAATAACTACAGTTTTAGTTGGACATAGTGCCTTTACGACTTGTTTATTACGTGTATTTATTATTTATGACATTATATTATAGTGGCATTGTTATTATTCTTACATATTTATGATGTAAAATGTTGACTAAAGTAAAATAAATTGAATTAAGTGTTTATTTTTGCATCATCACCCACAAGAAGTTGAGCTAATACCTCATAATTTAATCTATACGATATATTTAATCTTTATTGAATGAAGAGGGTTAGGTTTTGTCTCTGCCGTAAAAGAGAAAGCACCATTATTCCTAATTTAAATCTTAATGAAGAGAAACACATTTAAACAAGAGGTTATAATAAAGGCAGCGCATCTTGAATCTAGTTTCTCCTCAGAAAATACTTTTAATATTCTATTTGATAAAATCTTGTTTCTATGTAGTTTATCCTAATCTACACTTGAGATCCAAAATAGTCAAATATAAAAAATACTTTAGTTTGGTCCGTTTCTGCTGCCTTAAGAGTTTAAAACACACACACACACACACACACACACACACACACACACACACACACACACACACACACACACACACACACACACACACACACACACACACACACACACACACACACACACACACACACACACACACACACACACACACACACACACACACACACACACACACACACACACTGCGAGAGAACAGCGGAGACATGCGTGCTCATAAATAAATACATTCAAACGGTGATCCGTGATTTCTTTAAAGAAAGCTTGTAAATCATGAATTCTCTGATGTTTGCTCATTATCAAACAGCGTCTACAGCAACATATCCTTCAGTCCATCAGTTCAGGTTGTTTCACGGCTGCCAGGTGAAACACACACACATTTAAAGACTTTTTCTTCCAATGAATCATAAATAAGGACATTTTAAGTAGAACAGTCAAGACTCAGCCCAGGGTTTATCAGTGAGTCCTGTAAACATGACAGGGAGGGGACAGCAGAGGGCATACTACCGCAAACTATCTATAGAGTGCATTTCATTTAGGAAATATTGACTTAGTAATTAAAATACATAGTTTAAAGATGTTTAAAGAAGCGGAAAGAGGTTGTAGTGGAGCTGTAGTGTTTTTAGGACACATTTTAACAATACCGTGATAGGAGAGTAGATAGAATTACATTTCTGATATCGTATTATTGTATTGTGTCTTTTAAGAAAGAGTTACAGTTTTTTTCTTAATTCAACCCAGCTGTTCTGGCAGTTCTCTTATTCGCCTTTACTTCCACTTTAAAGATGATTATTTATCAAAATTCTTATGTGACCTTTTTCTGAAAGCGTGACGAGTCTACATTATTCATCCCAAAATGGAGGTATTTGGTAAAAACATTTTTTTTTGTATTATATAAAAATGTTGTATTATATAAATTAGGGCTGAGCAATTAATCACATTTTAATCGCAATTACGATGTTGGCCTGCCACAATTACGAAAACAACACAATCGAAAAAAACAATTATTTAGCTTTGCTAGGTTGTGAACATATTTGATCTAATTTATTTGTATTTATCATATTTATATATATGTAGTATCTTGTGGAAGTGCGCTCCAAAATATATATTGGTATATATTATTTTGATATTTATTTAAATGTATATATAAATGTATAATTTATTTTTGTATTGGTTTTTCAGTTGAATTATACGTTCAGGGTGATTAGCAGTTAGAAACATACTGTTGAAATGATTATTTGTATTTGTTTTAAAGTTCAATAAATGGATGTTTTCAAAGTTAATGAATAATCGTATTTAATAATCGTGATATCAATTATTGACCAAAATAATCGTGATTATGATTTTTGCCATAATCGCACAGCCCTAATATAAATGTCTCTTATGTGAGCCGTACTTAATGTCAATGTGGATTCACTTCATGTCTAAACCCCACTCCAAAGAGTGTACTCTCTAGTGCCCGTCATGTTTCATAGTTTGTTCAATGTCTTTTAGATTTAAGATTACACAACCTGCAAGTAAAGGACAATATATACCGTAGATTCAGATTGTGTGAGTGTTTACCGATGAAAGAACATCCATCTGTTTGCAACTCATATATATCAATATTCCAATGACTTATAGACTATTCTGCACTATTTCTACTATATTCAATGTTGTTATTTACTTGCACTATTGTATCTGTGTTATTGTGTTGCTCTGTAGGAGGAGCCTGTGACCTCAGAGTTTCATTGTCATATCTACACTGCAGCTCACATGAGAATAAAAGCCTTGAATCTTGAATATACCGTAGATTCAGAGTGTGAGTGTTTAACGAAGAAATGACAGTCTAAATTCAGTGTGTTCCCCCTGACAGCAGAGCTTCTCTCTCAGTGACTCCTCTGCACTGAGACCTCATGGTGCTCAGAGAGTCTGATGTTTGCTCTTCAGAAAGGGAACGTGGTTTTCAGAGTCTTCTTTTCTACCTGAGCCGGGCGGAGAAGCAGCGCATGTACTCCGTCACCCAGCGGTCGCCCGCCACGCTCAGCTGCGAGCGCCTCGTCTTCTCCAGGTCGGCGGATCGAGCGCGGCGCCGCTCAGGGTTCGAGTTCTTCTTATCGGACGCCCGCCGGGTGGTCTGTACGCAGGCGTCAGACGTGCGGCTCTGAGGGGAGAAACCAGAGAGATGGAGGAGGGGGAGACGTTTACGAAAAGCACACCGGAGTTTTATTATTAATGAGAGCAAGAGTCTCAGGTGACCCAGCTTCACTTCTCTGGTGTCCTGTGAAGCTGCTCTGAAACTCACCTGGACTCAGGGCATCTCACATCCTAACTCTGTGCACATTTATTTCTGTATAAAAACTATTTCGTCTTTTATTCGAAGTGGGAAATCAGAGAAATGTCAAGTGACGATCGCCTAAAACAATTACCATTCTGTTTTGTTGTTCCTCTTTTGAAATAACATTTTACAAGAACATCACCAGGACAGGAGTAAGCCTAAGAGACCAACTGAAATAAGGCTTGTAACGGTATTTCATAATTTCCCTTTAAACAACAGATACCATGAAAGACTGGAAACAACACATCTTCAGACAGAAGTTACTTTGAAGACCAAGGCTACAGCTAACTTCAGTAACCAGCAGTGAAGGCCTTTAACGTGATGTTTTTTGTTAACTTTTAAAAACAAAAGTGAGTAAGTATTAGTAAAACATGGTAAACGTGTTCCACTAGAAATCCTGCAATCAAAATCTTACTTAAAGGGAATTCTGCTGCCTTTAAAGTGTATGTCAAATCAGTGTTGATGGTAAATGCAGTCGTTTGAGGCTTTTCATTCCTCATAGCGTGCGACTGTATATTGAAATGAGAAAGCTGAGTTCTCCTGCTTGTAAAGAAGTGTCTAAAAAATAAAGTTAATTTCAATCAAGTAGTTTTGTTTGTTATGGATGAATATTAATTTGTACTAGTGTATTATGACATCTTGAGGAATTGCTTAATTGTTAGTTTCGTGTTTACCGTATTTTTTGTTGCTTTTCGATTCGTGTTTGAAATGAGGTCTTCTGTTAGTTTATGTTTATTATTGTTTATGTGGCTATAGTGTGTAAAGGTGCGTTTGACTTCGGGCTGCTCGATTATGGCAAAAATCATAATCACGATTAGTGGGTCAATAATTGATATCACGATTATTAAAAACGATTATCCATTTACTTTGAAAACATCCATTTATTGAAAAAGAAAATGTGAACAGTATGTTTTTAACAGTTGATTCCCTTGAACTTTAAATATAATTCAACAGAAAACACAGTAAAAAAAAAAATCGTTTTATTTCGATTACGTTGTTTTCGTAATCGTTGCAAGCCAAAATCGTAATCGAGATTAAAATACGATTAATTGCACAGACCTAGTTTGACTGTATGTGTGGAGCAGAGGAAGAATAGCCAATGCTAGAGCTTAGGAGCATCCTGATAAAGAAAGTGAAGCTCCTGTTGCCGTATCCTCCAGCTCGCTTCAATACGTTGTGACTCAGAGTTTAGAAGTGCTTTCAGTCGCCTGGAATATCTCACAAATGTTGTTTCATGCCAAATCTGACCGGTTCCTTACTTTATACTACATTCTCTTGGACCTGAATTGTCGGCTGTTATTGTTAAAGGAACCTCATGAATCTCCTGTCACCACCTCCATGTATGTTTGTTTGAGACTGAGCTGTTTTTGTTGTGTTTTGTCTTTTTGTTTGTTTTCTTTGTAATCATGTATTTGTCATGTATGTGCTACGTCATTATTGTGTTGAGCAAATTGGAAAAACCAGTGCTTTCATGGACAAACACTCACGTTGTTCCTCGCCCTACGTTCCTCCCCCTGTCTCTCGCTCCAGTCCAGTCTTCCGGACGCTCTCAGGCTCTCCTTGCTGCAGAGGGCCGGGGTGCTCTTGGCTCTCGGGGGTTTCCTGAGCACGGCGGGCTTCTCCTCCAGGGAGCTGTCCCGGTGGGGGGTCTCTGAGCGGGGGGTTCGGCGGCGGAGGCGTCTCCTGGGCGGCGGGAGGACCGGCTCCCCGTCAGAAGAGGTGGTGTCAGCGGGGCCGGGGTCTGACGGGGACTCCACCTCTGAGGGGCCGCTGGTGTCTGGAGACAACGAGCTGGATCCATTCACACCGTTTACTACAACCGCTGCTGAAGATACAGAGCAAACGTTTTACCAACCTCAGAGCACTTTAAAGGTCCTCTATTATGCTGTTTCTCATCAATATATCACAGGTCTCAGATATATACAGAGCCTGTCTCTGATTGGCTGAAACACCAAACAGATCATTGCAGCATTACCCATAATCCCCTCTGTTTCTGTGAGATTTGGTTACAAAGAACTCAATGGTGCTCTAGGAGGAGATTCAGGTGATAAGGTGGTTAACCTTGGTTGGTGATTGGCTAATGGTTACTCAAGACAAAAAATTGTTATGACATCATAAAGTGGCCAAAATCTGATCAGCTCATTTTCAGACATGTTTTTATAGAAATGGATCAAAAAGAGAGAGAATCTTTGTTCCTGAAACTTTCAGAGTCTCTTTCCACAGAGGGGACACATGTTGATGTAGAAGAGACATGAAGAAGAGGGGACACATGTTGATGTAGAAGAGACATGAAGAAGAGGGGACACATGTTGATGTAGAAGAGACATGAAGAAGAGGGGACACATGTTGATGTAGAAGAGACATGAAGAAGAGGGGACACATGTTGATGTAGAAGAGACATGAAGAAGAGGGGACACATGTTGATGTAGAAGAGACATGAAGAAGAGGGGACACATGTTGATGTAGAAGAGACATGAAGAAGAGGGGACACATGTTGATGTAGAAGAGACATGAAGAAGAGGGGACACATGTTGATGAAGAAGAGACATGAGGAAGAGGGGACACATGTTGATGTAGAAGAGACATGAAGAAGAGGGGACACATGTTGATGTAGAAGAGACATGAAGAAGAGGGGACACATGTTGATGTAGAAGAGACATGAAGAAGAGGGGACACATGTTGATGTAGAAGAGACATGAAGAAGAGGGGGACACATGTTGATGTAGAAGAGACATGGAAGAAGAAGGGGGACACATGATTGATGTAGAAGAGACATGAAGAAGAGGGGACACATGTTGATGTAGAAGAGACATGGAGAAGAGGGGACACATGTTGATGTAGAAGAGACATGAAGAAGAGGGGACACGTGTTGATGTAGAAGAGACATGAAGAAGAGGGGACACGTGTTGATGTAGAAGAGACATGAAGAAGAGGGGACACGTGTTGATGTAGAAGAGACATGAAGAAGAGGGGACACATGTTGATGTAGAAGAGACATGGAGAAGAGGGGACACATGTTGATGTAGAAGAGACATGAAGAAGAGGGGACACATGTTGATGTAGAAGAGACACGGAGAAGAGGGGACACATGTTGATGTAGAAGAGACACGGAGAAGAGGGGACACATGTTGATGAAGAAGAGACATGAGGAAGAGGGGACACATGTTGATGTAGAAGAGACATGAAGAAGAGGGGACACATGTTGATGTAGAAGACACATGAAGAAGAGGGGACACATGTTGATGAAGAAGAGACATGAAGAAGAGGGGACACATGTTGATGTAGAAGAGACATGAAGAAGAGGGGACACGTGTTGATGTAGAAGAGACATGAAGAAGAGGATTTTGCATAATAGGTGACCAACTGTGAACATTCATAAACACACCTCGGCCCAACAAAGATTCTCACACACTTGTAATGGGTTGTTTCCGGTGATGGTCACATGGTGGTTAAAGGTATTTAGGGCACCTGGTGTATGTGGAGGTTTGGTAGAATGACAATGGGGCTGAGCTTTTGTATGATTCTGTTTGTTTATTGTTTTGATTTACAATATTAAATATCCTTAAAACGTCAAGTTCAGTACAGACTTTATTATTTATACGCGTCACATCAATGAGCGAAGTTTAGCCTCAGAGCGGCCGTAATCGATGGAGATATAGCCGGCACAATGTTCTTGTCTATTTAGTAAATAGGCCGTCTCTTGTGGCGGTGGAAGGCAGAGCTGGTTCCCAGAATCTCTTGTGTTTGAAAGGAAAGCCACAGAGCGGAGACACAGAAGGTGTTTCTGAGCTCAGAGTCTGAACAGGAGGAAGCAGCCTCCTCTGATCACTGAACTTTCAGTCCACATATTTTTAGCTTCACGTCTCTGGAGGTAAAGCCGCCTCTGGCCCTCACACTGTCAGAGTGACGCTCACACAGGAGCACAAACACACTCCTCCCGGGGGTCTGGGGGACTAGCCCAAAAATATTTCTGGAAGCGAGACAAAAAAACAGAGGAGAGCGAATAGAAACAGGACATTATGTTGTTGGTTTAATGCATCAGAGTTTTAGAACACCTGAACTCAAAATGATGAAGTGAGCATGGCTGCAACTGACTATTCTTTTCATTATTCTATCATTTGTTTCTAGTTAATCGTTTAATTATAGGAGAGAATGCTTACAGCTTAATGCTAAACGTCCTTAGATTAGTAATGCTTACATGCTGATGTTTAGCTCATTTGAAGCTCAAGCACCAGAACTTACAAACGTTTGAATGTTAAAGGTGGGGTCGGTCATTTTGGAGAAAGCAGCTCGAGCGCGCTAGAATTTGAAAATACACAGCCGGAGAAAATCTGCCACTTCCTCACAGAGCCCCTCCTCCAACACACACACGAACGCGCACATGACCAATGAGGGCACGAGATCAGTTTGTGCCCAGATGGAAGGCTGACAGGCAGGTAGGCCATCCAGTTACTTTAGCCGGGCCGGCTCAGATGATTGGTCGTGCTTTTTACAGCGCCACGGCTTCCACGGATGACATGTTGTAATGGATTTTTTGTCAAAGCACTTCAGATATTCTTTGCTATCGGGAAGTTAAGAGCATTCATGGAATACAACAAAGTGTATCTCGAGCCGGTTTCTCAAACGTACCTACCCCACCTTTAAGGTAATGTGCCTGCAGGTTGCTTGCTGATCTGAGTTGGTTTCTTTATGGTTTATGGCACTTATTGTGGCTTTGGATAAAAGCACCAGCTAAATAAAACAAAATGCACTACTGTCACCATCTGAGTCAAGTTGTTAGCATGCTGACATTTGCTAATAGGCATCAAACTCAAAATATTTGACGTGAATGTATTTTGATTTGCAAAATACCTGATAATGTTCAAAGTAGGCACTAAAGTTCTAAGATTAATACATTGTTTTCTTTGCCAGACAGAGCTGCAAAAATGAGTCAATTAATCGAATAAATAATGGACAGAAAGAAAACCAGAAATAGTTTTGATAATTAATTGAATTGATTAAAAAGATGACAAGCAGCTCTTTTATTTCTTATATTTAGTTTCCCCCAAATATAGTAACGTTTGACTGAAAGCCTGAACTCAGACTGACCTTATGATCTATGAATGTGTTGTTTATAGGAGTTTTAAACGTGTCGATTTATTCGATCAAGAGGAAAAATATATATATATTTAGGAATCAACTCAGCTGGAATAAGAGAATATGTGTCGGTTGCTTGATACCGGTGTTGGCCCTGGACTGCCATCTGGATATTGTTGCAGCGAAGGCAACAGCTAGTGGAAGTGAGAGAAAACCTAATTTTGTTTATTTCATTTATTCTGTTATTCTGGTCAAACAGTATATATTTTGTTGTCGTTATAAATACAACTTTTTGAGCTTGAATCAAGCAACTACGCCTATGTTTACGGACGGACAAAGAGAACCCCGTCACAATGATAAAAACAGCTAATCGGTTGTATAAATGAATGTCAGTAGTGGTGTCAGTCTCCTCACCTGTAGCTGGAGCAGCGTCAACGACCGTCTCCCCGCCGCCCCCCTCCGTCTCCCTGTCCTCAGACGGCAGTTGTGTCCCAGGACTGGATATCTTCTGCTTTGGGAGGGACAGAGGGGCGATTCTGTTCCTGCTGGGCCTGGGCGTGGACCAGCCGCTGGACTCGGAGCTGTTGTCCCAGCCCTCAAAGAACCAGGACTTGTGGGAATGCTCCATGACTCTCCGGGTCAGGCGGTACTTCACTGAGTCCTCGTAACATTTGGAAAACGTCTCCCACTTAGGATCCCTGAACTTCTTCATGTACTCCGACCGGACTCTCTTGGTCAACATGGCTCCTTTAACTTCCTCCGTCTGGTTGTTATCACTGGAGAGAGAATAAGAGGAAATAAAACATGATTATTGGAAATAACACTTTACACTGAATTCATATCTACAGGATATTATTTGTAGGATTGAGATCAAAATACATGATAGATTACAAATGTCTTGGTCTTATATCCTTATTGTTGTGATAGTAATTAAAGGCAGACACAGCTACTGTAAAGCCAAAATATTAGAGTAACTATTTACTAATACAAAGCAACATGAGGCAGCTGTGGCTCAGGGGGTAAATGGGAGTGTACGAATCAGTGTTTGATCCCAGCCGCTGCAGTTAACATGTAGAAGTGTCATTTGGCAGAATACTGAACCCTAAATTGCTCCCGTAGTCATGTCTACAGTATTGAAGTGTATATACGCAGTACAGTACTTGAGTAAATGTACTTAGTTACTTCACACCACTGTTCAGTTGTAGGTTTCTAAGAGGATCTACCTGTATGTTGGCCTCTGCAGGTGTGGTTCACCTGTAGCTCCGCCCACCTCCCTCCACAACAGATTACCTCAGAGCTTCTTATAGTCTTACTATTGACTGCTCTACTGACTGCTGCTAGTACTCAAACTACACCAACAATAACACAACATATATATATATATAGTATATCTGGATATCTTCCGCCTAGTGGTGGAAGAAGTACTCAGATCGTTTACCTAAGTGAAAGTACTAATACCACAGTCTTAAATTACTCCATTGCAAGTATAAATCCTGTGTTGCAAATGTTAGTTAAGTAAAAGTACAGAAGAATGATCAGCTAAGTGTACTCAAGCATCAACAGTACTGATAGTGCAGAATGCCTCTTATACATGATTTACATTATAATAAAACATGATATTATCCTGTTTTTAAATACATGAGTTGTTTATGTTGTAATAGGCCTAAGTCAATATGGAGCATATTTTGGAAAGTACTGAGTAAATTAGACCTAAATATATATCATATAAACACACGTATTAAGTTACATTTTACTACAAGCGTCAAATAAATGTAGTGGACTACAAGTATAAGTAGCAGAAAATGGAAAGTACAAGTACCTCAAAATGATACTTAAGTACAGCACTTGAGTAAATGTACTTAGTTACTTTACACGACTGCCCGCCTACACACATTATTCATTTTCTTAACATAACAATATTGAAAATGAACTACATGAATGAATAATTCATCTGAGCTGGCCTACATCTGATGCATGGATGCTGATACAAGCAATCAGCAGCTAATTACTGCTCATTTATTGTAGATTTCCCTGTAAATGTAACAGTTTATTTTCTCAAGCACACCCCAAAACATCGTATTTCTTAAAATAATTTCTACCTTTAAAAACGCCACCGAAAAAATAAAACAGCCGTTTAAATTTGAAAAATATTGACGGTTTGAATATATGAGATTTGAATTGGCAGTTATCGTTAGAATACCGTTTTTTCTACGGTGAAAACAGCCATCAGTAAGCCCCGCTTGTAAACACGGTGTGGTTTGAAAACTGGGAGGCTTATGAAGGTTTTATACTACATTGAATTTCACTCACCCAGACTTCATTTCAGGGCGGTCCAGTGTGATTTAAAAGCCCAGTTTGTCCCGTATGTTCCGAGGTTTAGACGCCTGACATCTTGCGCTTCTCTCCGACCCCAACTGACAGCCGACAGACGAGCTACAAGTTTCCTGACGTACGGCTATCAGCTTCCGGCGTAGACTTTCAAAATAAAATATATATATTTTATATGAAAATCTAAATCAACAACAAAAAAGATGTCCCTTTGTAATTTAGTGTAGAATAAGTACAAACCACTCAAGTATAGTAAATTATAAGTAACTTAAAGTTTTACAATGAGAAAATGTCATTTTTAAACTTTGTTATGTTAGCTTAACATTTGTTTTGAAAAAAGAATTAGATACTTCCGGTGCAGTGCTGACTAACAGCTGCTAGTTTGATGGAGAACAAAACATATCGTAGTAATAAAATATAATTTCCAAGTGAAGATGCAGACCATACTGCGCATGCGTACTCCATCTGTGTAGTGACGACAACAGGTGAAACAGCAGGATCTGACTTTTAAACTCATTTAACTGAGACAGTCTAATCTCTAATCATCTGTTAAAGGACTACTACGTTTATATTGTCCAATGTTATATGTTATCAATAAAGTACTGCATCGAGAATCAAACTTAAGTAAAAGTATTTTGTACGAATGTGTAATGTAGTTAAAGTTTTAGGAGTAAAGTACTTATTGCAGAATAAAAATAAAAAAACATGTCCATATTTTTTTATATTTTGAAGCAAAAGCAGCAAATCTTCGAATTTTAGAAGCTGGAAATGTGATATGTTTTTAACAACAAACTTCTTAGCCAAATCTCTGCCACTACATTTTATGTTAACACACTCATGGTTTTAGTAACTTAGATATAATGTTGGATGGTTGAATGAATCTATACCGAATAATCACATTTTGTTACAGCCTGTAATGATAACAAACGCCACCTTTGAATGACTTTGTATACTGCAGGGTAGCTTGTGCTTGGAATGGCAGGGGCAGAAACACAAAAGTCTCACACACACACACATACCATGTATACATCACTTCAGGGGACATTACATTGACTTACATGCATTTCCTGGAGACTTATCCTAACCTTAACCAAAACCAACACATGCCTAACCCTAACCCTTAACCTAACCAAGTCTTCACCCTAAAATTAATGATTCCCCTCATGGGGACCTCCATTTTGTCCCCAAAAGGGAGACGAGTCCACACGTGTGACTGTGTAGACATATTTAGGTCCCCACAAGTATAGTAATGCTAGGCCACACACACACACACACACACACACACACACACACACACACACAGATACACACACACACACACACACACACACACACACACACACACACACACACACACACACACACACACACACACACACACACACACACACACACAGAGAAGGCCCAGACAGGTGCACAGGACCTACCATTTTCACACTTTTGTTAGCCCAGTGGACCCGAACATCCTGTATGTAATATAAATGTGGCCCGTGTAAAGTGGGTGGTCATTGAAAATGTGTTCTGATGTTCTTCACAGAAAATGAGCCAAGGCCATTGAGTGTGAGTTTGAAAAAATAATTGATCATATCATTTTTCTTTAGCTAAATAATGAAAACGGGTCCCACAGACCCGAACACCGTACAAGGGTTAAGTTTAGATTGAACACTGGTCAGATGATCAAACGGAGGAAACAAATGGGTTAAAAACATGTTTGAGTCAGAACTTGAAAGTCTTCCAGATTCTAAAGTTCATCTTTCCAATATATCTGCTGGTCATAAAAACAGATGACTGCCTTTCTAACTATCAATGAAAGAGATTAGAGGGATTGAAAGTGAATTCTGACATTGTTGAAGAGAGCCTCGACACCAGTACACTGCGGGAGATCTTCAGCAACGCACAGTTAGAGGACCGTAAGAGGCAAACCGAGGGGAAGTAAAAGGTGAGCTGCTTCTTGAGGTTTCCTGAGCTGCCATGTGTCTTCAGAGACTTTCAGAGATCCTGAGTCTCTGAGCTGCAAACACAGCTTCTGTTCGAGCTGCCTGCAGACATTCTGGGAACAAAGTAAGAGCAAAAACTGTCCCCTTAAAACTCAGTGGCGAGCCGTCAGGGCCCTCTAGGCCCTCTGAGAGGGCCTAAGATATTCTAAAAAATAATATTTGAAAACATTAAAAAAACCAACATTTTTTTTAAAATATTTTTTTTAATATTTTGTTGTTGTTACATTTTTCATTAGTTTTACCAAAATAACTTGATTTAATTGTATTTAAAATAACATTTCCAAAGAAATAAATCCTTCGAATCTGCATGTTCAGTTTCTGTTGGAATGTGAAGGGTTAAATGCCGTCTCTGCGAGACGGCCCCTACACGGCGGCGTGCATTACCGCTTGGCGGTGGGCGTGTCTGAAGATTGGGGATTTTTTACGAACAACGCGACCAACAACCAATCACATGAATGTCCCGCCCCGGACATACAAAGCAAAGCATTCATGCTACATCCATGCTGGCTAAATATACTGTCTATGCTTGCTAGCTGTCCATTCAAACGAAGTACACTGGATATAAACTCCCCAAACAGGCGAAAACCACTCTCTGCCACCTCCTCCCATGCCTGGCTCCTCCGTACTGTATATCTGTAGACTTGGTATGTCTTAAATGTCCGGTTAGGATGTATTAGAACGAAATGAAAATTGTAAATAAGCAATCTGTATGTAAAAAACCACCTGTATGTAAATTGTAAATAAGCCATCTGTATGTCAAATATGTCTTATATGTCTTATATGTCTTATATGTCTTAAATGATATGATGAATTGGAAATGGGGGACCCTGATGTAAACAAGACGAAAGTCTTTCTCTGGTCTGCATCCCCTTAACAATTGTATGTTTTGAGCTGTACTGTATACAAGCTGTTAATAAACTTTTCAATCAATCAATCAATCAATCCGGTTTGTATCCCTGTATGTAAAGAGGGACTGGTCATATAGTACCGGGTGATTCCCTACCGCCACGATCATTTTCTCCTCCATTTTTTTGACATATGGGAAATAACTGCGGTCTGGCTCTCCCAACATACACGCGGTTTGATTGGCTAGCGCTTGGAATGTCAGATTTGCATACGCGGGATTTGATTGGCTGACGCCTCCGTCGAGGCGGCAAAAGTAGAACATTGCTCTACTTTTTGCAGCGAGCACCGCGAGAGAAGCTACGCTTTGCTCCCACAATGCAGTTCGGCGAATCGTGACGTCACCCCATTCTAAGGAATGGGCAGAAGCGTCAGACCCGGCGCCAAAACAAATCTAAAGGGAGGGCCTATGATTTTCATGGGAGGGCACACAAAACCGTCACGTGCTGCGGGCCTACGGCACAATATATATCAGACAGCAAGGCCAACAGCATTGCGTAAAGACGCACACTTATCGCAAACATACACAAATAAAGGGCAACATAGCAACCACTTTGAAACATTGTGTGCGTGGCAGCACAGACACTGGTAAATCACGAGCAAGGTTGACAGCTAAAAAAGCTATAATATAAACGACAGCTGACACGTAATAACGGCTCCGTGCCAGCTGATCTGCACCAAAGTACTCATTTCCTTATTTGTTTCCTCGCGTGCTCTCTCTCTCTCTCTCCACAAACTCTCACATGAAATGTGTTCTTTTGATGCGGCATGCCTTATATGGAGGACGGAACATGACTTAAGTATAAATAAATAAATGTATGAAGAAATACAGGAATAAATAAATAAATACGTAAATAAATAAATAAATACAGGAATAAATAAATACAGGAATAAATAAATGACGAAATAAATACAGAAATAAATAAATGTTGAAATGAATACACAAATAAATAAATAAAAGAATAAATGCATAAATAAATGCATAAATAAATATGGAAATAAATACATCAATGTATAAATAAATAAATAAAAGTCGAAAATAAAACAGAACACACGTTATTATATATCTTTCATTTATTTCTACATTTACGCAACATACATTTATTTATTTATGTATTTATGTGTCCGTATGCTAATGAGGTGGGCGGTCCTAACCTCAGTCTGAAGCAGGATTGGTTACAGGAGTGTGTGATCATTTCTGGCAGAGGGCTCTACTACTAACGCCTGGATAACCGCGCTGATTCGAATGCAGGAGCTTTACTGTTTAGCCCTTATCTTTATACATCCATGGTTTATCCACAGTTGTAAGGTTTATTTATGGATATTGATTTAAGAGCCATTGGAGATCATTTACGATCATTAGCGGACCATTTAGAGAACGGAGAACCAAAAGACTATGTCCAGTTTCGTGTGGAACGATGTATAGAGGACTTGGCTCAGCTCGACATGATGTGACTTGCCACAAATCTATTGCTTCTGCCTGGCTCCAACAATTGGCGAATCCTGCTTCAGACTGAGGTTAGGACCGCCCACCTCATTAGCATACGGACACATAAATACATGAATAAATAAATGTATGTCGCGTAAATGTAGAAATAAATGAAAGATATATAATAATAACGTGTGTTCTGTTTTATTTTTGACATTTATTTATTTATACATTGATGTATTTATTTCCATATTTATTTATGCATTTATTCTTTTATTTATTTATTTGTGTATTCATTTCAACATTTATTTATTTCTGTATTTATTTCGTCATTTATTTATTCCTGTATTTATTTATTATTTACGTATTTATTTATTTATTCCTGTATTTATGTACGTAATTTATTTATTCCTGTATTTCTTCATACATTTATTTATTTATACTTAAGTCATGTTCCGTCCTCCATAGCCTTAGCAGTCCTTTATCAGTCTGTAATGCGTGTTTCCAGTCGCAAAAACCGTTGACAGTAAAAGCCGCATCAGATGAAGACGTATTCACTTTAAACTGTCTACAGGGGAAACAAAAGGCTGCGTCTGCTTTTAACGAATATTCAAGCAATGGTCTGTTGTGTACCATGCAGCGGCAAAAGTGCGCTTCTTTCCTGAAAACAATCTCCCTGGATAACGATCCAGCTTCACCTGCTTGGGTTTATTAACCCCAAGATCATCGCTAACTCAACCCCGGGGTTTGTCGAGGTCAAGCTTGTGACATTT